CCCTTACTCGATGTTTTGTTGATGTTCTAATGTACTGTACAGCTTTTAAACAATAAAGTTAAATAGATTTCTTTTATTATTATAATACGTACTGTAGTTGTTTCAATCACCAGTAGTTATCATCGTATAATTTTTGTCATAATGAGATTTATTGCCACTTTAGTATGGTTGCATATATTAAATTTGCAAGCTTTTATTACTGAATTTATACCAATCTTTTAGTATGTCTGTAAATATTGTTTATATGTAAGTGACAGTTAAGAGTGAAATCATTCCATACACAGTAGAATCCTGGTTATCCGACACCTATGGGGATTTAGAGGTGCCGGATAAAGAGATCTTACAGTGAGTTGAACCGCACTCTTAGGATCCCCAATAAATCCTACAATGCAGTGCTACAGGCTGACCTTGCAAATTCATGCCTAAGAAGTCCATTTTTTGCATATTTGTGCATTTTCCTGAGCCTTCCCAATTGCTGTGTATTTAGCTTGTCTGTGCTTGTTTGAGAAAAATTATAATTGTTTTGAAATTTAAACACTTGCAAAAGTGCAGAGATTTGTGGTAAAATGTTTTTTTTAACATTTATTCCAATCTATAAAAACAATATGACTTAGCAATTAAGAAAATATGATATAAAGCTATAAAATAAGAAAAATGAGGAGCACGGGTGTGTATGTGTGGAGGCAGTGGGCTGTAACTGACTTGCCAGCCCAGCCGCCTAATTTATTGTTACATGTAATGAAACTTTAAAAGTCGTGTAATAATGATTACAATACTGTACTCTAATGTGGCTTGGAAATAAAGAAAATATAATATACAGTAAAACTATAAAAAAAAAAAGATAAATCAAGAAATGTATGTATCTGTGTGGAAAGTGAATGTGTATGGAGGTGGTGGGCTGTAACTGTGTTCCCTCCCCGATGTGCCGTCATGGCTTACACACAGCGCAACGGGGCAGCAGCCATATATTTGTGAGTCAGATGGCCGACTGCTTGGCTGAAATGGGTTGCATCACCCAGAGGATGGTTTGAGTGTGGAAGGAGCTATATTTTGTAAATAAAATATGTGCTCTTGTATTTTACGATATGCTCTGTATCAATTTTGTTTATCATAGCGATTTTTTTTAATTTTTGACATGCATATACATCTTGAAATTTGTTTAAATTAGGCTAATCTTTTGCTCACATCGTTTATACAGTATAAAGCTCATCCCCATTGCTCACATTATTCAAACTTATAATTCTCGCTGATTTTGGAGGACTTCTTATTCTTATTATTATGACAGGTGTATTATTATTACCGGGTATTATTATTATTATTATTTCATTTCGGTGCTGGTTGGTTGAATCTGCCAGTTGTTCGGACTCTGATAACCGAGATTCTACTGTACTTCATGCATGTCTGTGAACAATATCTAAATGCTTTACCATTAATTATATACGAGTAGTAATGGGATGATGATAATAATACAGGTACTACTACTAATAATAATAAGAGTAAATAATAATAATAATATAAATAATAATAATAATAATAATAATAATAATAATAATAATAATAATAATAAAATAATAATAATAATAATAATAATAATAATAATAATAATAATATTAATAATATTAATAATAATAATAATAACAATAATAATAATACTGTACTTAATTCCTGAAACTAAGTGTTCAGTATTAATGCTTTCAATACTGCATGCTATTTTGTGTTTCTTTATTTAGTATCATACATACAGTATAGTCTTGATTTACGCGGTTTTTGTTTACACGTTTGGTCATTTACGTGGTGCTTTGCCAGAATAAAAATGCTTTAATTAAGCGGAAAGTGGCTGGAGGTCCAGACGCACCGCGCCATTTTTTTATTCACGCGGTCCATTCTCGACCATACGCGGGAAGCGGTGCGGATATGGATGCACAGTATGTCGCTGTTGCGTTATCGCTGAAGTCATATGACGTATCGGACTGTGATTGGGCCACGCATCCTTACCTCCCTCCACCGCTAGCTGTGATTGGTCTAATGTTATATGACGTTGCCTGGCACGGGAGGGAAGCTACTGACCTAGCTGTGTCAGTCTCATTGTTTTCAGTCACCGCGTATACTGTTCTCTCTTGTGCCCGCTAATCTGTTCAACAATGGCATCCGATAAACCCCCACCACCCGAAAAAAAACCTTGATTTACCTGGACCAAGCCAGCCCAAGAAGATATGACGTGCTCTAAGTTACGAATTTAAGTACAAGATCGTGCAAGATTTAGAGAAAGGAACGAGACAAGTTGATTTGGTGCGCCAACATGGCGTGAACGAATCTACGATCCGGACGATCAAGAAGGATGCCGCCAAGATTAAAGAACACATGAGCATCACAAAGTCTGCAGGTGCTTCAATGGTGAAGTATTGTCAGAATAAGGTGCTTCTCAAGACTGAGAACTTACTGGTGAGCTACTTAATTCGTCAGGCAAGACGGAACATGGCGGTCGACACGCGGGCTGTGCAGGACTAAGCTCGTGAACTGTACTCATCAGTGGCGCGCAAGATGGGAATTGCAGAGCCCAAACCCTTCACTGCTTCCTCTGTGTGGCTGCAAGGGTTTAAGAAAAGGAACAAGATTACCAACATTAACATTGTTGGTCAAGGAGCCAGTGCTGACCGTGCTGTTGCCATGGATTTTCCTCCATTCTTACGAGAAGTTATGGAGGAAGGACAGTACACCGACGACCAGGTGTTCAACATGGATGAATCCGGTCTGTTTTGGAAAAAATTACCTTCCAAGACCTTCGTTGTCAAGTCTGCCAGCACGTGTCGTGGCCGGAAATTGCAGAAGGAGCGCATCACCATCCTGTTTACCACCTGTAAGCTCAAGTTGTTGGTGATCCACACAGCCCGCAAGCCGCACGCCTACAAGAACATGGAGATGACCAAGCTAAATGTCCACTGGCTAACCTTACGTAAGGCGTGGATGTTCACTGGTCTGTCCCTCTCCTGGTTTGACGACTGTTTCGTTCCTGACGTCAAGAAATTCTGCGCGCAAAATAATGTGACATTCAACATTTTGTTGCTGCTTGACAACGCACCAGGACACTCGCCCCTACTGTTGGATCGTCACCCCAGTGTAAAAGTGGTCTTTCTTCCTCCCAACATTACGTCGTTAATCCAGCCCATGGACCAGGAGTTGATATGCAACGTTAAGGCTGCATTCTCTGCAAAGAAGTTTAAGCTCCTGAACGACGACACCAACACCAAGGATGAGTTGCGTAACCATCTGAGTGGCACAGATAGTGAGAGCGATGACAACGAGGATGCAGAACAAGAGTTGTTGGAGCATGAAGTGGGAGTTAAACAGTTTTGGAAAATGTTTAACGTAAAGAAAGCTGATGATTTCTTGGTGGGGGCATGGGGGCAGCTGTCTGTGGCAACGATTCGTCACGCGTGGCGGCATGTGTTGCAAGGTATCCCAGATGGGAGGCAGAGGCAACCTGTGGCTGGTGAGGTTCAGTCTGTTGCAGTGGCAGTGGACCTTGCAAGAGAAGCTGCACAGAGTGTTACAGCTGCAGGCTTCTCCGAGACCACCAACGACGACATCATGGAGGTAATCAGGGATCCTGAGGTGACTGCCAACGACATGTTGGAAGACGATGACGTCAGTGAGGAGGCAGGTGGTGCCGCAGCAAGAGAACAGAAGTTAACTCATGGTGATGTAAAGGATGCCATCGAGTTTGCCGAGAAACTAAAGGTCACCCTTTCAAAAAACCATGTCAATCACCGGTATGAAGTCTTCAATAATAATCTTCTAGACCAAAGTATGGAGCAGTACATACAGATGTACCACGACCACATCAACACTAGCCGTCAGCGTAGCATCACTGACTTCTTCGCCCGTAACCCACCACAGCCAGCCCAAGCCAGTGATAGTGATGGTGACTTTGAGTGGTTTGTCAGGGAGGCCCTGACAACTATGGTGGAGAGTGATGGTGATTCACCTGAGGGCCACTAATCTGCCCTCTGCCTCGGAACCAGCCCCCATCCTCGTATGCCGACCCATCTCTTCTACTAATGTAAGTGTTAAACCTTGATTTTCTTTTACCTGGTACAGTATATTATTCTCTTATTGATATTTCTCTTCTATATTATCTTGATAAAATCACACGGGAAAAGGGAAACAACGGAGCACCTTAGCTTTCGTCTATATTCAAGACATCTTCAGAGGCAACCGGATTACATGGACAGAGAGAGGCTTAAATATACAGGGTGACCTTATTAAACATGGTCAGGTCATAATGATGTCATCCACTAATCCCCACACCAACACCAACACACACGTAGAGGAGCTTAAGAGAAGGGGGGGCGACATGCATACCATCATAAAATTAAGATACTATTTTTACTACAACGTACGTATTGTCGGAAAAAGTGCAGTTTGGGGGTCGGCCCAGTCTCTATTTCAATTAATCCCATATGTTCTGTTATTTCATTTATGCGTTTCTCGTTTTATGCGGTCCTCCACGGGTTCAATTGACCGCGTAAATGCAGACTATACTGTATTCTATTTTCTCATGTGTGTATAGTAATAATGAAACAGTCTTCCCATTTTGCAGGAACTGTCTTTTAAGTTAGTGGAAGCAGTTCATAGTTATTCTACTTACAACAGAACAACCAAGGTCACCTTTAGAAATATTAAATAAATGTGTTAGAGTAAGTACTGTATCAAGATGACTGTTGGTTCTCTTACACTAGAGATGTGAAGATGGTCAACAGCCAATAAATTTATTCATGAGTCAACCTACTATGAATACAGGACACTGTATTTACAGACTGATAAATGTGAACAAATATTAATCAGTAAAAGTGAAAATTTCAAAACTTTAAATTTCAAAATATCAGAGCTAAGGGAGTTATGCTTCAGCCAAAGACACGAACACAATACATAAGACAGAGGGAGGAGTGGACCCACATCAAGTTACCAACATAACAGTTACTGAACAAATGACAACTTACAGGTAAGCCTGGGTCCCCGCGCTCACCCTTTCTGCCAATTTCACCTCGAGCACCCTGGAAAATAAAAGCCATTTACATTTTCTTAAAGTTAGAGATTAAGGTTATAATATTTTTACCTAAAGTCATCCAAAAATCAAATACATCACTTACATACAAGATGCATCATCCTCTCTTTCCAATTCCTTTATGAGTCTGTATGCACAAAAATTCTCTGTAAATTGTCTCTTACTGGTGCTAAGTGAATGACTCTAGTTATGGTAGTCTCTGTGATCTTGAAGTCATTTTGGACACTGTGTTTTAACTTGAATCACCTAGTTAAGTGGCTTCAATTTCCAATGAAGAAGACAATTTAACTTATAAGTGTTGGGAAGTACAAGCACTAGTACTGTATCTGTTTACATCTCATATCTCAGCACAGGGCATTAAGACCATATGCAGTCTTCACCCATACTCATTTGTATTTCTTTTCCCTTAAACTCAAGTCTCTGTACTTTCATTTGGATTCCAGATCTGACCTTCTTTTAATTATTCCCACTAAAATAATTTGATTGCACTTTAAAGCCCTTTACCACTTGTTGCTGGGTGGCTGGAGTAAAAGTAACAATGATTCTCCCCATCATAAATTTCTCCAATGCTGCCATGCAATACTACATGTAAGAAATACCTGCACTATATTAAAAATATTTTGTTGCAATGTTAATACAACTGCATATCTTTGTCATTTAGTACCTAAGTGTTCATTATATTGTAAACTAAGGTTATTACATACTTACAACTTGTATCTAATACAGTAATTTACAAACAACACAACATAGATCCTTACCTTCATGCCATCAAGACCCGGTGCTCCCTGTGAAGTAAACGGTGAGAGAACGATATTTAGTTTATCAAGGTTAGAAAACCACTCATATTTTATTGACTATGTCTCCTGTGTTAAACCCAAGGGCAATAACTGCACCAGGCCATGCTATTGGCATTCACCTATATATCTGCTCTTATTTGATTAGATTTTGATGACTATATTTTACCTTCTATATACTTTAGTAATGAGAGATGAATAATACCATCTGGAAAAATAGAAGGATACTGTGCTCATGTTAGCAATTCACTACTCTAGAAAATCAAGACCCACTACGTGAGACTTAGGAGATGTTTACAGTACAACTCTTCTTTGAAACCTTTAACTTTGTAACCCAAGAATTAAAAATTCAGGAACATTGCAAGGATAAGCCAGTTATCTTCTGAAAGAAAAACATAAGTTTATCATTAATGTGTTCAAAACTAAATAATTTTAGTTTCCCAAAGAACAATCTGAATTTGCTCATAGTCTCCATCAGGACAAATAAACCAACAATATATAATGGAACCTTAAGATTGTAGATGAAATTTGTTTCAATCTTAATAGACCCAAGACCTACTGGGCCCAACCTACTCTACCGGTAATCATTAAAAGTGGGAGCCCTTATGACAGAGGCTCATTTAACCATCACCACCTTGAGAGCCTTCATCTAACCCTTGTGATGATGTTAACATAATTCTGTTCATATTCCCATTACTCATCCATCACATAGGTGCCTCAAATGATGACTTACAATTGCACAATGCAATTAGGAGTTTATTAAACTGAAGTACAGTGTCATTACACTCGAGCAATGGGCCGTTTTATTCAAAGGGTTAAGACATCACATTCAAGGGATTGTCATTTTAATGAAAGTGTCATCTTAAAACTCATGGGGTTAAAATAACTTAGTCAATGAACAAATTCACTATAAGGTACTGTATTGTACTGTATTGAGGGGATTAGCATTGTACTAAGAGGTTCAAGGTCTGAGAGATAAACTGTACATGTACTGTACTGTTGTATAGCTTCAATATACAATTTATGTTCCAGTATTAAAATTTTATTGCAAAAAAACCCCAAAACAAAATTACGGTACTGTATCGAGTTTTATGGCTTATCAAAATGTATACACGCTGAAGCTATTTAATTTTTGGTGTGCATTAATTCATAGCCTGAGAAAAGTTAAAAAATTTTAGAACTCCAAGATAAATATTTAGAGGAAGAGGAAGTAGAAAACTGTGAGAGAGAGAGATAAAAGTGTTTACCTTATAGTACATACTTCATAAGAGGCGTGCTTAACAGTTCCAGATAATAACACATGCGGCACAGTAGGTCTTGCGCTTTTAAAACATTCATGCAAATATCTCATACACTTAAGACCCGTACTTACAGGAGATGCAAACAATGACTTACAAGAGATGACACGATACCCAAACACTACCACATGTGAAATTAATGGCAAACTTAATTTTCACTACAAGGAAATGTACTCCAAATTTCACACTAAAACCAGTTAATGTAGTAGACTAGAAAAATTAAGACTTCTTTAAAGGATACAGGAATACTCTACTCTTCATTGAAACTTATTCAATAAATAAGACAATGAGGATAATTCTTCTACAGTATTTGTCTATTTACACCATTAGTTCTTACTCTTCTTCAACTGTTGTATGGATGGATTAAGTAGGATAAAAATCTCAAAACAAAGGAGGAAACGAGAGAGAAGAAGACCAGCAAAAGACAAGTGTAAAAAGGGAGAGAAAAAAGTGTTCGTGTACTGTACTGTGCAGATGTTTAGCTCCTGATTTTAAAATGCACAAAGTAAATTAAATTATTTGCTACTTATTTCAAAGAAAATTTGTGAATTATAAAAAGAAAGTGACTTAAACACTGCTTTCAAAGATACAGTACCCCATATGTGGTGACATCTTGGGAGTACAGCAAATGGGAGTTAAGTTTAAATGAATTAGCAGGTTTATTCTCTTCAATTATGGCAACTGTGAATAATGTGAATTAGACAACAACAGCCTTGGTTGCTTCAATATCAAAGACAAAGTCACAAGTAAGAATGTGGGAAGCATCAGAGGCAGAGCCAGGATATTTCATATGGGAGAGGGAGGGTTACCAAGCTATCTTTACCCAAATGAATATAGAAAACTTTTCAAGGAGTACATATTAATATTAAAGTAATCTATTTCAAGTGCATCTGTATTTACAAGAGTGAGGGAGAGACAGTGTGTTAGGAGTGGACTGAACACCAGGACGCCATGCTCAAAATTAAAACATACACGAGCATCATATGGAACCCAGGACATCCCACAACATAAGACAACGAAGTGATATAACAGACAAAATGAAATGCTTCAACAACAAGCTTTATATACAACATCCAAGTGATTGTGATAAAACTGACTTTAAACATAACATTCATCAGCTTCATGCAGTGCACAACAATCAACAACTCAGCCACCAGTCATTACATAAATAAACGATGACAACTAAAAAAACATATGGTTATGAATAAGGCAATCTATATCAGTGAACACAAGATGAAACAAACCTGAGCTATCAAGACTGAGGGGTAAAGCAGCTCTTACTTTAAGGGGAAAATCAACAGCAAGATTGGAAATTATAAACTAAACTACATCTGCTACTAAGCTGCTCTCTAAAGTACAACTGTAGACCACAGTTTTTTATGCTGTCTAATGAGAACAAAGCATTAATTCTTAAAATAGTTTAAATAAAATAATGCAGACATAAGATAAAAACAGCATTTAACAATATAGAATATTTTACTGATTATGACTAAAACACCATTTACTGTACAGCACTGTTAAACTATACATTTGCATACAAAAGAAATGGGAGAGAGATTGACTTTTTTTAAACAACAAAATGTCAACAATTAATTGGCTGTCTTAATGAGCCATTACTGTAGATATTGAATTAAAATAATGAGATTATTTCCTGTGTCTACATACATCACCACAGTATTGCCTTCTACTCATACAATGGCAGAATAAAAAGAAATCTTCTTCAAAAATTTTGCCAAAGATTAAAAAGATAGCTTATAATGTTTACAGAATAATTCCATATATTAGTTGACAAAATTACATACCTTGAAAAAAACCCTTCCTAACTACTGTATTCCCATAAGAGCATAATCAACCCTTCTGACATCAAAGATGAGGTTAACCATTATTATCAACAGAAATTCAGGCCATTACTGTATGGTACACATCTCCACAGGCACAACAATCATGAACAGTGTGTATGAATCTAAAAAAAAAGTCACAACAAATATACAGGAATATAAAAACCACCACCAAAAGCTTTAAATATAACAAAATTTTTAAAATAAAAAATCTATGTCTGTGAAATCTTTTTATAGTTTGGTAGGAGTAAAAAATGACTTGTTGAGAGGGTGAATACAGTTTCTACCAAGAGAACTAAGTTAAACAATCCCTAGGTTACTGCCAGTGGTGCTGTTCTAAGATTAACCTTCCAACACAGACAAAAAAAAAAGTTTTAAAACTGACAGGATGTGTGTTGGAAACTTATATCTACTTAAGAGTCAGAAGTTTAAAATTCTAAAAACCTTTAAGTTGCACATAATTATTTATACTTTGTGTACGGTTGCCCACAGGTATAGTGTTCCACCCTTCAATGGCCTTTCTGCCGAGGGGTGGAACACTATACTACCTGTGGTCAACTGTACATCTGAACCAATCCAACAGTTGTAGAGACCCAGTGTTCAGACTGTTCCTTGGTGAGTCATAACAGTTTATGCGGAGGTGGTCTGAGTCTAGGTCAGGCCTTTAACTCCTACTATGCCACAAAAGTACTGTATAGTAAATGATTTATCTCTTCTATGGCTTTAAGGAATAGTCAGTACAGAGGAACACCACTTGTGCTAAGTGAAAATTTGTATTACTTTCCTAGAATTATCCCAAGACTACCCACACCTATAATACCCCTTAAATAATACATACAGTACCTGTAATATACAGTACACTTGTATAATTTTAATAGTACAGTACATATAAAGACAAAACATAAAGACAAAATATGGCCAAGACAGCTGTATTTTGTCTTTATTTTTCATAATTGTTCTCAATGAATATTCAGAGAGGTCAAACTTGTGCTCAACTGCCATACCACCAATACCTCACTCCATTCTATTTAACTTTCACTTTTACAGTAATGCATTTTTCATTTTCATTACCAATGCATGGTGGAAATTTTGGAATCATAGTTTCACAGGAATAAGCACTACAGTATTTCCGCTTAAAGATGTATTAAATATCGAGAGTGATAAGTAGAGTGCAAAAAGAACAGAGGCAAGTAAACACACTCTGCCTACTCAAAAACTAACATGGTCTGTAAGATGCACACTGATTGGCTCTTATGAACTCAGTAAGGTGTGCTGTGGTTGGCTGCTATTTTATAATTACCATGGTTAAGAGAGCAGACAGATATCCTATGATCGCGTAAACATTATATTTCAGCCTCCTACCACCCCAAAAGTAATAAATCCCGACCAGAGTAAAATTGTACCATGAATATTATGTCTCAGTGTCACAGGACTACTGTTTATTTGGGATTTGTCAAACACAGGATGTGTGGTCAGAACCATCTATTCAAACAAACCCCAACAGTGCCACATTGCACCTACACTTATCACGATGATAAACAGATGTCTTGAGTTCTCGCATAGGAATTTTTTAATACAAGGGCTCTCCATATATTTCAGAGTGGTTTAAAAACAACCAATTAGTAAAGGAATAAGAATGATGTCATAAAACCAACACAAGTCACTGGCAAAGGTGTTTAGAACAAACTATGGGTGGAGTCAGTCACTTAGGATGTGCAACCAAGATTAAGCTCTTTAATAACTGAAGTTCATGAAGGGAGAGACAAATTTGGGATTCTTGAGAACTTCTGGAGATCTTAGGCAGAAGAGATCTTACAGATTTTGGGCCAGCCAGGTACTCCCCTTCTCTTGGCACTGTGGTACAGTACTACTGTATATCACAATCATATCTGGCAAGTTGGTGGTTAATTTGAGATGTGTGACTGACATTTGTTCACTCGTTCAATAATAGTTTGTAAAGACCTCTAAAAGTGGTTTAACTATATTCCTTGTATCTAACTATACCAACACTATGGAAAGAAAAAGGATCCCAAAACAGACGACTTAGAAACTTACTCTGACTATCTGAGAACTGAACATATTTTGTCAATCTGTGATGACTTTGTTTCAATTCTGTGTCTGGTGGTGGAGCAGATGAGATTCACTCCATGTCTCTTAATCTATATTGACAATAACGTGTCTGATGTGATTGTTCCCTAATCCCCTTCCATCCTCCACTTCTCCCACACCCCATATTTTTCCATTCTCCTTCTCTGTCCTGTGTTTCTCCCACTCCTTGTGGTCACACACACTCACTGTAAAGGGACACCCTATCTTCATCTCTCCCTTACTTTCTGTGGTTGCCTTGAGGGCCAGCAGGCAGAGCACAGCAGCAGTCAACCCACAGCCTCACTCCCACACCCACACTCCCCATACTCCTAAGGCCCTCACTCATTCTCACTCACACCACACTGAGTGAGGAACAATTATTATTATCAATCATGTGTATTTCAATACAGCTTATTTGATAATTTCTTCCAGTTTATTTTATTTAATCTTATTCAATTGTGAACAAATGACACATTACTGCTACAAATGAGCCTAAAACATTTGTTAATATTCTCATAAAATGAGAAACAAGATTTAGTGTCAACCATTTGTATGACACACATCACCTGGCTCAGTCTTAAATACTCCCATTAAGTAAAGTGTAAGTTACCAGTTTGATAGTTATAAATGACAGTAGAAACAAAGATGACATCACCAACACCTTCATCTAATAATAAATTATGAATAAATAAGTACGATAACCCTTCATCTCAACCACGACCACTCAGAGCAACCTTACCGCTGGACCAGGTTTGCCACTCTCTCCAGCTCGGCCTAATTCTCCTCTGAGTCCCATTGGACCTGGCAGACCCATGGGTCCAGGGTCACCTTTGTCGCCCTTCACACCCTAAAGGAATAAAATTTAGACTTAAATAACGAAGAAGCATCACTATATCTTCATAACAAAATAACAAACTAAATTTTTATACTATCTGATATGCAAAAAAAAAAAAGACAAAGCATTTTTCAACTTGTTGCCCTAAAAACCTCAACGTATATGTTTAATATACACTACAGTATAATACTCACAATTGTCAAATAATTAGTACATAGGCAGATATCAAATACACAACTACTGGTAAACATCCAACTGTATCATATATGTTGCCTCCAACCATAAAATAAGACATATTTCCTAATATAGTAGACAATTACTGTTATTTATTCATTCTTGACTCTTTTATTCTACACAGATTAATACTATACTTCTGTTGAATACCTACAGTATAATATTATTGGAGTATAATATAATTTAATGTAATATAATGAACCTTCCTCGTGTTTTTTTACAAACACATCATTAGCCAGGTTTTCCTGTAGTTGCAGTTTAAAGGTTGACACAGATCAAAGTTATCCATACAGTTTGTCCCAGCTGCTTCACCCAACCTAGCATCAACAGTAAGTCCATTCTTACACAACACTCAACTAAAAAGTAACACTTGAAGTATTTAATGACTGATTCTACATGCAATTTAGGCTACCAGATACATGAAGCAGTTATCATCATCATGTATTCTTCCCAAAGCAGAATTTGGTGTGATAACTAAAGTCTATAGTCATTACAGAATAAAAAAAAGAAAATCTTGTTTGACTCGGTTGGATACATTATAAAAACAAATCTGATAAAAACTACTTTAGTGAGTTAAATTTACTAGATGATGAACTAAGTCTGTGAATTCAGTTGACCTACTTGTGTTATAACTTTCCTTCACAAAACAAGAACAAGAACTAGACATTGATCCATCTGTTAGTGGTGTATACTGACCGCATCTCCCTTCATACCATCCAGACCCATGGCTCCCTTGATGCCAGGTGGCCCTTGTAGCCCTGGTGATCCTGTTGGTCCGGGAGGTCCTGGTGGGCCCATGATCTGTCAATGGGGAAATAATTACCATTTCGATCCTCTTATGGTATTATTTCCATGATACTGTGTAACATAATTTGCAGAAATTGCAAATTATGCAAATTGGGGAAACCACACATTAGTTTCATTCTTTAAAAGTCAAACCGAGTTACAGCAGGATTTAGAGAAGTACAGTACTATTATCCTACAATTATCTCTCTCTGTTTGTGAGGAATTAAATGAACAATAAATAGTGATCCAAACCTGTCACTGAAGAAATTTTTTTTTTTTTTAAATATACTGTACATGTCTACAGGTCAACCATGGAGACTAATGTATTATAACAAAACATGAAAAATAAATAATAAATTATAAAGCCAATAAAAATATGTATTAAATTGACTACTTTTTAACATCTACCTAGTAAGTAACTATTGCATTAGGATCTGTGTCTTGAGATTTTTTGTACACTATACAGTAATATATACAAGTTGTGGTTGTTAAACTATGTGTCTGTTGTTTCTTCAGGTGTCATAGCTTTGTTTTAGTAAATAAATATTTATAAAGTCTTGCCTGATCATGAACAATAATCAACTTAGGAGGTAATGAGCTTCACAGATTGTGCAAAAATGTATGAGGAGTAAAACAAAACAAAAATCATAAAAATCAAACAAGAATTGACAGAGCAACAGTGATTCAAGGCCCAATAACCTGGCAAAAAATGAAAAGAAAAAAAGAAAATGAGCATCAAAGTTTGACAAACTTCTATGCATCACTGTGAGACTAAATAGTGCATAATATTGATGAGTTTTTCACAGATGTTTGTGAATTACAGTACAGGTACAGTATTTGGAACATTGGGACACATATATCATGAGGTTTCACAAGATGATTCACCTTCAATTGGGAGAAGTCAAGTGAACCAAATAATCAAGAAACAGACAGATGGATAAAACACTGGAGACAAACAGACAGAGATACTACAAAGACATCACAGTGACCAAAGAACTATAATACTGTATTGTACTAATATCAAAGAATGACTTGGTAAACACCTTACATATAGTAGCTCAACTTGGTAGAGCATTACCACAACCTAACTACAGTACAGTATAATAAAATGCTGATTTGTACAAAATAATTGGACAAAACTCTCTGCTGTGTTGACTCACCACTTCTCCGGGCACTTCCTTCCATATCCTGCTTGAGTCACCCTGGTAAAAACAAGAATATTTAAGTAGATTAACACTAAATATTTTATAGGAAAATGACACTACTGTACCACCAACAATATATACAGGTAAATTCAATAATTTAATAAAATATTTACTTCAAATGCTCATCATAATTTCTATAAAATGAAATTACAATTGCCAATTTCTTTATACTGCATTTCATATCTAGAGCAACATTTAATTAAATATGAAATCCTTTGTTTAACATGTTTTGTTTAAGTAGCAATAAGACTATGGTAACTAGTGTGGTAAGTACTGTGCCTTATACAGCATTGTATGTAAAGTATACATATATATACATATACTGTATGAGAATTCAATGATTTTCCAATATTTCATACAGCATCTATAATAAGGAGGGATACTAAAACAACCATAAGCCTAAGTTAGGTGAGGGACTTAAGAAAAACACACATTAATAAAACTTTTAAGGGTTGTGGAGGGGAATGATGGAGGTTAAGTTTCCTAATTAGCATAATTAATATGAATGATAAATCTTTCATTGTGGGAAAATCAAAACATCAATAATTATAGACATTATATACTGGGCTGCACTGTACTGAACTTACATTTTCACTACACTGGAATACAATATAGTCTATCACTTTATTTCTAACTTTTTCACTTTAATGATCACAAGGGGAGGTGTTCAGAACAATGGCTAACTTACTGATGCTGCCAATACTGTCTTCTACACTCAAGTAACACTTATCTTGCACCTCATAGTTGAAAAGAAGGTATATTTGCTGATGTTACACAGAATTGACTCTGTGTCCCATTCACTGGAAAAGATGAAGATTATAGGAGAAGGAAAAATGGAGAGAGAGAGAGAGTTCCACAAGGACAAGGAGCCTGAGTGAGTGAGTGCTTGAGAGTGTGTGAGTGTGTGTGTGTGTGTGTGTGTGTGTATGTGTGTGTGTGTATGTGTGTGTGTGTGTGTGTGTGTGACAAAGCCAGTGTCTATACAAATGGCAGCTGTGTTAAACATTGATTTAGCATTTGCTTAATGATTTAAGCTCATAATTTCATCTAGATAGCATTTTATTCATGTTTTTAATATGTTAGGTAAGTGAACCAATTTCGTGTTTTGGGGTATGAAATTGGGGTACTGTATTTTAGTCATTGGAGAACCAAACCCTATTTTTCCCATTTGTTTTGTAATATGATACAAAAATTTGCTTACCAATTTTGGGGAACCTAACCCATTCCTATATTGAGGGATACCTGTACTCATTTAGCTTTTCAGATTAGCATATACAGTGTATGAATATGTATGAGCGCTATGTATAGTATAATGTGTAAACACCCACTTCAATAAAAAGAATAAATATTCGAGTAAGCAAGTCAACAGAGAAGGAAGAATCCATGCTAAAGAGATCAACAGAGGATGGTGACTTAAGGAATGACTTGTAGATGTAAAACAACACCTTTTCAAGTATACAGTAGTTAATATGAGACACTAAACCTGATATGTCTATAATAATGAAAGATTGTTATCATGTGGGAAAAAATAATAATGGGAACAAACAGTGTATCAAGTTACCTGTCTTCTTCTGAGCTTTTTCAGTTTCTGGGAAGCATCACAGGAAAAAAGAAAAGAACACTCATTAAATTCCTGGTCAACAAAAGCTCTAAGTTATAAAAGGCATATGCAGAACTAAACAAAAAAATAAAAATATTTCTGAGTGTGTGTGAACTTTATTTTGTATCTTAAAATTACAATAATTTAGATCTAACATCAATAACAACTATTAACACACTGGTAAAAACCTTCTCGTTAAACCCACTGGTGAAACAACTAAAGTCACACACACCAAAAATGTGCTGCTAAAATAAGTACCTAAAGCATAAACAAAATATGGAAATGTGTAAATGATAAATGAAGCTCTAATGCCAGCACGGTGAACTGGTCAAGGGATATCAGCTGGTAAATTATTATGGGTAGTGAGGAGCGAGGGATAAAGCAGACCCTTCTAATGCGCACATCCTCAATGCTGCTGTCTTATTCAGTTTTAGTTAAATGTTAAGTAAAACATTTCATCACAGTCTACAACCTTTACAAATTAAAACTTTACTTGTACTACCGATGTACATGTACTGTATTATAAAAATCCCAAACCAGATAACCAAACTGTATAAGGCAGCACATCATCGGAGTGCACTAACTTACAGGTCGTCCCCGAGGTGGCCGGTCAGCAGCTGGGAGCAACTGGGACCCCTTCTGCAGTACCAATAGCAAGACAACACCCATAAACTCATAAGTATTGTCATCTTTAGTATATATACTATAAAACAACATGACTTAAAAGAAGAAAATTTTTAGACACAAATATACTTAATGAGTGTTTTATGTACATCTTGGGCACAGACTCAAAATAATTGTATTGCATCAAAAAACTATCAATATATAATCAGTCTTTCTTCACATGCTATAAAATATTTAATGTGACTTTTGATGTGTTTACTGACAATTAATGGAAATAGATTTCTTGATATTAATAAACCTAATGTAGATGAAAAACCTGGTAGTGTTGTACAGAGGCAGTTTTGATTTTCACAATGTCTTACGAGAAAATAATTATTGTACTGTACCTATTTTACTGAGGTACAAGTACTGCACATTAATTCAAGAGAGTTCTGGAGTTGATGCCAAGAAAGTGTCAGCAGGATGACACCAGACTCACAGAGATAAACTAACAAAACACTGCTTGCTGGAATCTGATTATCTTAATAGCCTCATCTGAATGAACTGACACATTTGTTTGGCAGCAATTTATTAACTGAAACTTAAATGTTTATTATTTCTGGCTTATAATTCACATTACTGTACTGTACTCTGAGGAGGCTGACAGAAAAACTATCAATTATGGAGCACTAATCCATCACATATAAAGTATTTCTTTTAATATTATCTACTACAGTAACTATAAATTTGCTGACTGAGTGAATGTTTGCCAAATGTAATCAGGTTTGAAAGTACAAAGTTATCTATACAAGAGTCAATATTTTTTGTCACACGTAAGAGCCAAAAACTGCATATACTGTGCTGTACACAGGTGATCAATAAATGCTAAGAGTACTGTATAAATAAAACATCAACAAATGCCTCAGTAAAGGTCAAAAGCTCAAAATAAGCACTTTTAGCTTTCATGTGGGGAATGAGTATCAAGAATTTTCATAATATATAGAAATGTAAATTGTATTTTTAAAAAATCTGCACCATATAAAAAAGTTCTAATTGAGAAACCATTTAGATGAGCATAAAACTATGGCATTAAATTGACTAAATCAGAATATTTATGACTGTAAAGCAAAGAACAGACTGAGTTTGTGAAGTGTCAAGTTATGGCTGTAGATTACATGAACACCTGATCCGTAAGACTGTACAGTACTTCAGTGTAATAAATAGTGAGTGTACAGCCATCACACTGGTGTGACACAGGAATATGGCTTCAAGTTACTGTTGTGAAAACGGCAGTAATGTTTGCCTCCAAGTTAAAGATAAATCCTGAAAGAAAAGTTATGGAAGGCAACAGGGGATATAAATACAATAAGTGAAAAGTTACAAGTATTGTGTGAATTTATGTTTTGCTTCATAACCACTGAGAATAAACAAAAGTGATGAACAAATGTTGACAAGAGAGTCGGTCTCTCAATAGATGAATGAAGAAAATATGGGTGTGGACAGCTTAGTTTTGACACATGAACTATGAGTGAGATTGTTGTAAACAAGAGGTGGCATGACAAATCAAATTTGCTTGTCAGAAGGTCTGGCCATTAGTGTGCTGCCTCTCATATCTAGATCCTTCTAACTACAGTTTGTTCAACCATCACCAGTAGGTAGTTGGTTGTCATCTACTGGAGTCAATACAGTCTCAAGGATCACATCAGACATCTCTTACCAGCCATAAATGATAACCACATGAGACAAATAAGCAAAAGGAAGGAAACAAAATATCACTTATTATACTGTACAGGTACTCCTCGACTTACGACCTACTCAACATACGACCACCTGGACATACGACCGCCTCAGTCGTACCAAAATTTTTTCAAATTACATACGTATTTTCTAGTACCGAAACGTTTCGTCCCATACAAGAGAGTGGCGTGGGCTGAGCCGCCTCGTGGTGTACAGCGTCCACGCCATAGCGCGCTCAGTTGGTGTTTGGCCGTCGTTATTGTCAGTAGTGATCGCGCTGTGTACTGACAATATTTTCGGTTCTAATTCCCTTTAAAATGACTGGCAAGCGTAAAAGTGAAAGTTCTGGTGGTGCTCAGAAGAAACAAATGGCAGAGGCATTTGCTACTATTAATAAGGGGATGCAAATGATTGACGAAATGGATCAAAATGTTGAGTGTTTCGCAAAAGTTGACAGAATGATCCAAGATGCACTTGCTTGCTACAGGGAGATTTACAATGAAAAGAAAAGGCAAACTGTGCAGTCTAAATTGGACATATATTTTAAGAAGTCCTCCACTGCTGCCTCTTCACTGACTAAAGATGATCCAATACCTTCAACAAGCAAGTATGTTAGCCTGTCTGAAGAAAGCAACATTGATGACCCACCCAGTCCTATCTCCTCCTCTGCTTCATCCAATTAATGTAGTCTCCATGTTTAATTAAAAAATTATTGGGGCCCCGTGTGCATTCAGCTGACTACATTAAAGGTAAGTGCACAGTAACACTGTATTCATTCTTCATTATTGATTACTTTTACTGTACTGTATTTCATTTCGACTTATGACCTGGATTTGGGTCACTAACCCCGTCGTAAGTCGGGGACTGCCTGTACATTCCTATATCAAGCCTGTTAAATGCTTCCATCTCGATAATTAAATAAATCATCAGGCATTACTTCATAATTTAATAATATTATTACTTAATATTTAAAGAACAGGAACTTGGTATATTTTAAATGAACTTACCGAGTCTCCCTTATCACCTTTGTCTCCTTTGAGTCCTGGCAAACCCTGGATAAAGTGAAATTTTAGATGTTATTATACAGTGTATGGTAATTGATACAGGGTGTCTCCTAAAAATGTATACCAGTACACACTTCCTTAGAGATTTTTGTGGACATTATGTGAATGCTTGTATATTACAACAGCAACATTGTCCTCAAGCATTCATACAATCCCCACAAATATTTCTAAGGCAGTGTGTATACATTTTTCTAAGACACTCTGTGTATGTACTGTACAATTATGCATAAAGTCCTGTAACATGACTGAGAGTCTCAGCAGCTGGAACAACACTCACACCAGCTGGTGCCTGGCCGCTCTGAGGTGCAGTAGGTGCTTAAGGCTCAGTACAGCTTTAATTAGACATATAATGGGTCCTGTCCTTTGGCTGTGACTGTACAGACATGTAGGTATAACATATAAATTCATAAATTACAAAACATTGTACTGTAGTACTGTAAAACAACAAGAAGAGATACATTTTACAAGGTTGATGAAGGAGGAAATATCTTAAGGTCTACTGTACTGTAAGGGTAAAACCACTAAGATTGTATTGTTGTAAAGAACATATTATGGATGATAAAATGATGAGGCAGTTTTAGCAGAGGAGTAGAAAAATCTGAGATGGAGTAGATCTGTGAGAGAGGTGTTGTCTGGGGTGATAATAGATGTCACTGAGGGATGACAGCATGTGAGTTGAAGTAAGAGTGGAGAACCACAACTCAACCATGTGTGTGTGTGTGTGAAGAATGAATACTGTACTATACTGTACAGTATTATGAATAATAATCTAGTACAACATACTTTTTAAGTTCTCTCATGTTTAATGTTTGGACTAAATTGTCTTCGATAATGTTAATAATTCATACTTTTTATATAAATGGAACTAAAATGTGTTGGAAATAAAAGGGGACAAGATGACTCTGGGGCATAGGGATGGGAACCTGACGTGGGGTTACAAGGGACATTGACTTTGGCATGCACACAGCATTTGGCAAAAACTTGAAAGTAAACAATGGGTGAATGACTGCCCCCTTCCCCCAATCTCCCTACTACTGCTGCCTCTGATGGAAATGAAGACAGATATAATGGTAGAGAATATAAAACTAATAGTAGTATTACAAAAAAATAAAAATAAAATTTAAATGATATAACATGGAACTATTCTGGTGGTATTTGACGAGACTCACCGGAGGTCCTGGTAAGCCTGGCGGGCCCATCAAACCTGGAGGTCCAATGTCACCATATTCACCCTTTTCACCCTTAGGGCCAAGTGCTCCCGGCAGTCCTGGTGGTCCCTGAGGCCCAGACTCACCGTGAATACCATCCACACCTCCAGGACCCCTAGGCCCAATGTCACCCTTGGGGCCCTGGATACCCGTTGATCCTTTCTCTCCTTTAACACAGAAATTAATTATTAAAATGCTGAAAAAAATTTTATAAGAGGTAAATTGTTGTCAGTTACACCAAATATAATTATAAGAATGAATGAAAGCTGTTCCTCTCATATGATATTATGGGTTGAAAAGCATCTGGTAAACATGTGAACTTTAGGAATTATTACTTATGAGATATGCATCCAAACTATACAGCACCTTTAAAATTAAATACAGTACAATAAAAATACAATACCGGGTAATATGAGTAAGAAAATAAAGTTTCTGACACAAAATTCTCATAAAGAACTGTACAGATACTTCCTAATATATGAGGCCTTCATATCATATCAATATGACAATGAGCATAGTCAACTTTCAACAATAAAGTGTAATTATTACAGACTATACAAAACTAATCTTATACAATATATGTCAGCAATCTGCAGTAAAATAAACCCTTGTTATCTGTGGGTTTACCATTTACAGTATTTCTCTCTCTCACCATGCCTTTAGAAACGCATGTGGTAGGTGTGGCACCCGTCGCACTGCATCAACAGGCAGTGACCAGTGCTCCACTTAACTCCCTTCATTTCCCTGACTATTAAGTTAGGTACCTATACACAGCTGGGGAATTGGAAGCGTCCTAGGATTAAACAAGTACCACTTAGGACAGGAGGCAAGTGTTGCATCCACTTAGCTGCCACAGCCCATTTTCTATGTATTATTGTCTAAATCTGAGGTACCTTTTTGTCCAATAATTTTAGTTATTGGGGAAAAATTAAATTTTAGGAGCATTATCCTACTAGAGTCCACTAAATTTGAGAAAAACATATGTTGCTTCTACACAGACAGACACCTATATTAGCATCCACTCTGTAGAGCCTCGGTGAAAAGACACGACCGGTACAGTACATTTCTCTGATCTCTCCATGAACCATTTACCAAGAACTAATCATTACTGACCTTTTTCTCCAGATGGGCCAACGGTGCCTGATTCACCTTTGGGCCCCGCCCTTCCCGGTAGTCCCTGGGCTGCTGCTCTGCCAGACTCACCACGTCGACCCTGTCACCAGACACTCACATCAACAATAACAAAGTCTACCCCTAAGCATAACCCTTTTCTTTGATACAACTTAAGACTGACTTAAGAAGTAATGAATGTTTGTTCACAAAGTTACAAAATAATGATGTAATTTTCTAAAAAGAAATTCTTAAAACTTACTAATTGTCTTTATATGTATCTAAAGTTTAACTAAAATCCAGCTCAAACAAATAATACAGTATTTTCCTTTAAAAAGAAACATAACAACTAAGGATAAAGTTTATTAAATGCAGTTTATGGTTTGATAACTACAGTACAGTATATAACAAATCTGAAGAGTGATTGCAACACTTCAAGTACTGGCTCCATACTACACACATTACTGTACAATGTTAGTGTATTAATATGTTTACTGTTTAAATACTGTTAGTAGCTACAGTTTAATTTACACATAACATTTACTAGGACTACACAAATACACAGGTATACTTACACAGGACGAACACAGGATTGGGTGAAGGGGTTAATGACGTCACAGTGCCGAGACCTATTATTGGTCAATCGACTGGAGGAGGTGGAGACAGGACAAACACCAACACCACAGCTGACCAATCACAGATCAGCTTAACAAGGAAAAGTAAGGAACCCACATTTCTGTTAGTAGCAGCCACCACCAAGAACAACTAAATAAACCAGCTTATAAAGGACCACAACCAACAAAGAAGCAAAAAAAAAAAAAGATAAACATAACCCTGGCATGTCAACAACAACACAACCAACAACACAGCAAACTGATGAACCTGAAAGTAACTAATTGTTTAAAATGAATAGGTGAGGCATTTGGCTACACGGGTCATGCACTGATGCAGGAAATGAAGCAACATAAACATGCAAAACAGAAGGATGTATGCAGCACTTACTAATAACAGAACATATTAACACAAGTTACTGAAAGACTGGAAAGTGTGAAGAGGATCTGGGAGAGGAAAATACTGGAACATGAATATTTTCACGCACACAAGTGTAGACAAAACTTCATGTCCCTCACACACACACACACACAGTGATATACATACACAGTTCACACACATTTACATCTAAAACACTTGTGCATACTGATGACTGACGTATAACTACACCATTCACTGTAGGAGCTCTTGATACAAAGATGAATATACGCAAGTGTCGTTATTTGTCACAGACGCTGAAACTGCACAGATCCAGCGAGTTATTAGACGGTGATTTACGACAGGTAAACTGACTAATGTGAAAAGACTACCACGAGCAGGACCACAGAGCCAATTATTATTTCGGGCGACATGAACCAACCAAACTTAAATTAACCTAACCAAAACTACCTAAGATTGTTAGGTTTGGTTAAGTTTGTGTCACCTGCTTTGAAATATAAATAAATAAATGGATTAGTGGCACCTGCTCATGATACTCCTCCACAATGGCTGTTATGACAGTACATAGGTGTTATTTGAAGCTTCTTGAAGATATGTAAGTAACTAAGATAAAATAATAATGTTATGGCACTATGACCATCTAATTACTGTTAATGTTAACTAATTTGAGTACAACTACTGATGCACAGGAAGCACGGTGTGATATTAGTGATTATTCTTACTCATATTTCGCCCTTTTATTCAAGCATTAACAGGAACTGTAGCTGAGTCAGAAACATATTACAGTATTTATAAAGTTACAAACAGATGCCTTATTATCATCTATATTATTATCAGTATATTTAAAATTATTATAGGTGTTTTTAAAGTATTATTATAGGATTTAACACCAAATTTAACTTAGTGTTCAAATTAGAAATTTATAAAAGCTTAGTTGGTCGTTTGCTCAGCCGCACTTCACCAACAGCCCCCAGTGTGGGTAGCCAAGTATGCCCAGTGCCATACTCTGGGCACCTCATGTATGTTCCAGGGTCACGGTGTACACAGGGTCATGGTGTACATAGGGTCAGAGTGTACACAGAAGCACAGTGTACACAGGGTCACAGTGTACCTGGGACCATGGTGTACATGGGGCCATAGTGTACACGACAGGGCCACGGTGTTCACGAGACCATGAAGTAGACAGGGTCATGGTGTACACGGGGCAACGGTGTACACGGGGCAACGGTGTACACGGGGCCACGGTGTACATGGGGCCATGATGTACACAGTGACCATCAAGAACAATGATGAGATGCTGAGATAACACCCACCACACACATGCCACTGGCCGACATACAGTACCAGCAATGAAACTGGAAAGGTACCGAGTGATGTAAAAATGGTAACAAAATTCAAGTAATTTCCACAAGGTCGTGTTTTTCCCCAGCCAGGTACTAGAGGTGTAACGTGGCAGATGTATGGTAGTGTGAAGAGAGAGGAGCACCCCGACATACCCAGCACCACAGGGGGTATTAAGGCAGGATTGCACAGTACATACCCTCTTGCCCCGTTTCCCCCTCCTGCCCCGAGGTCCACGTGCCCCTTCCTCCCCGTCTAACCCAGGGGGACCCATTGGACCATCTATTCCTTGTTCCCCTTGGGCTCCTGGTGGCCCTGGAGGACCTGTTAGAGGCCGAGGAAGAGTCACTACATGAACTCACCCACTTAGGCTGGTACAGTAAACCACTTGTAAAAATTAATAAAACATAATAACACACATAATCATACAGTACTACTATGTATTCAAGCTAAACGGGTGTATGTGAAAGCTAAAAAAGCTCTTTACTGAGTGGAAGGCTGACTATGATGTGTTCAAGCTAAATGAGTGTACGTAAAAGCTATTTATTGAGTGGTGGCTGTGTTTTTAGCCAAGCTGTCAAATAAATTTAATACATAGTCTAGCCTTTCTGTAGAGTCAAGTATAATACCCTCAATATATTATGTAGCTTCTACTCTACAGACAATGGATAAACACTAAGCTTTAGAAACACAATATGTATTTCTCTGTCTATCTTTCAATTTCTTTATAAGTTGCTCTGTCTATCTATCAATACTGTATCTGTCTATCAATCACTTCCTCCATCATAAATTGCTACTTCCTACACTTGGAGCTGAATGGTAAATAGACACTTTCCCTAACTACCTCAACCTAACCCTTACTATGGTGCACTGGACACCTGTCCTATCCTACACCCGTCATATCCTACACCCGTCATATCCTACACCTGTCATAACCTTCACCTGTCCTATACTATACCTGTCATAGCCTACACCTGTCATAAGCTACACCTGTCATATCCTACACCTATCATAACCTACACCTGTCCTATCCTACACCTGTCATAACCTACACCTGTCCTATCCTACACCTGTCCTATCCTACACCTGTCCTCTCCTATACCTGTCATAACCTACACCTGTCCTATCCTACACCTGTCATAAGCTACACCTGTCATATCCTACACCTATCATAACCTACACCTGTCCTATCCTACACCTGTCCTATCCTACACCTGTCCTATCCTACACCTGTCCTATCCTACACCTGTCCTATACCTGTCATAACCTACACCTGTCCTATCCTACACCTGTCATAACCTACACCTGTCATATCCTATACCTGTCATAACCTACACCTGTCCTATCCTATACCTGTCATAACCTACACCTGTCCTATCCTACACCTGTCATAACCTAAACCTGTCATATCCTACACCTGCCCTATCCAATATCTGTCATAACTACACCTGTCCTATGTCCCTACACCTGTCAATATCTGTCATAACTACACCTGTCCTATCCTACACCTGTCATATTCTACACCTGTCATATCCTACACCTGTCCTATCCTATACCTGTCGTAACCTACACCTGTCCTATCCTATATCTGTCATAACCTACACCTGTCCTATCCTACACCTGTCATATCCTACACCTGTCATAACTTACACCTCAACAGTAAGTCATCCTACACCTGTACTATGCGATATAATTTACCCTAAACGAGAAATAATAAATTTACTTTATATAAGTACAGGTAATTGACTGACTTTGAAATAATAAAAATATTACCTGAAAATTAACCACCCCCACTAATTTACCTTCATTTTAATCACCTTAACGCTTACATAAACTAACGGTAAGCTAACCTAACCTAACTTAACCCTTTAGAGGGCCGCATTGCACTTAGGTATTAATTCTGGCTATACCAGATGATTTTATTCAGGTGATTGAAACCCCTTCAACACAAAGGGTTAACCTGAACAAAAGCTAAGCAAAGCTAAACTTACCTAACCTAACCTTAACTACAGTAATTTAACTTATGTAACGTAAGCACGTAACTGAACGTAACCTAAAGTAATCTAACTTAACTTAACCTAATCTATGCAATGTAATGTAATCGAGCCTAAATGAATTTACCATAATCGAAGCTAATCCAACCTAACTTAACTAAACCTATTTGAATCTAACATACCCTAACCTAATTTACCAAACATAGTCTAACCTAACTTAACCTCTGCCACTAGGTATTTTTAGGGTATTTACAGTACCTATCAGGTGAAATAAGCTAAGGTATCCAATTTTCAGGTGACCATAAAAAAAAGAAAGAAAAAAAAAAAGATGAACTAAAACAAAAGAACTCACCAGGTTGGCCCGGGGGTCCCTCGAGAATACCCGCCGGTATATCCTTGCCGTTGACTGTAGTGATGCCTCGGTCACCCTTCTGCCCTTTGTCACCCTGGAGAGGAGTCACGCTGGGTCAGTAGGACGTGGGGAGGTGGGGAGGGGGTGCAGGTCGGGGAGATAAAACCACGGTGGTTCAGTAGGATGTGGGGTCAAGGGGTAGTGCAGGTTCAGGGAGAGTCAGGGGAATGCAGGTCCAGAGGGGTCAGAGGTACAGGTCAGGCCAGGAGTCAGGGAAGGTGGAGGAAGAGTGATAGTTCAGGTTTGGATATGGGAGGGTCAGAGTGGTGCAGGAGTTAGGGAGGAAGGAAGCAGGTGGGTCGGTATAGAGGTGGTGCAGGTGAGGGTAGTGGTGCAGGTGAGGGGTGGTGGTGCAGGTGAGGGTAGTGGTGCAAGGTGGGGGAGTAGTGGTGCAGGTGAGGGAGTGAGAATGGCACAGGTGAAGGGGAGTTAAAGGTAAAATGGAATTGGTGGTAGAGGTGAGAGGGTGGTGGTGGTAATGCAGGGTGAGGGTGTCCTAGTAGAGCTGAAAGGGGTGGTATTATTAAGAATGGATGGGGGCGTCAAGGATGGAGCAGTAGGGCAGGGGGTGCAAGTCAGGGGTGAGTGGGGGAGGTGAGGTTAGTATAAGTCTTGGAGATGTGTGTGTGTGTGTGTGTGTGTGTGTGTTTGGAATGTAGAAAATAGGACAAAACAGATAAAAACAGTGGTGGGAAAATAAAAAAGATAAGAAAAAACGACCATGGAAACCAAAATGAAAAACCAGAGAATAGTCATAATTTGATAACTTGGGATATGTGGAGAAAAGAGAGGAAGGATGGAAGTGAGAGAATGAATAAGGTGAGATTGAAGGAAGAGAGGGAGAGGAAGGAGGCAAACACAGAAGAAAAGACAGGGAAAGCTGAGGTGGGAGGGAGGGAGGGAGGAAAAAGGAAAGGAGAAGGGAAAGGGATAGGAGGGATAAGGAGGAAGGGGAATGAAGGGAGGGAGGGGAAGAAGAAGGAACAGAAGGCAAAAAGGAAGGAAGGATAAAGACAGAAACCTCCAGAAGCTACAATAATAATAAGAGTCAGAAGAAACTAGCAGAAAAAAATAAATAAATAAGAACAAGAGAAATAATATTGATAAACACAGGAACAGATAAAATATGCAAAATGGGGTTAAAAACAAAAAAGTTAGTAAAAAAAATTGAACCAAAGCAAAAACAATTAGATTTCCACAACTTAAATAATAAATATGTAAATTAATAGCAAAACAAATCATAAAAGAAATAATGATAATAAGAAGAAAAGAAGACAGATAAAATAAGAAGAGTAAAGGTGAGATAATTAGTAAAAAAGCTAAAAGGGGGGTGGGGGACTGCATAATGTGGTGGATGGGGGGGAGGGGGGTGGAGAACTGCATGACATGAGGGGTGAGGTGGAGAACTACATGACATGAGGGGTTGAGGTGGAGAACTACATGACATGAGGGGTTGTGGTGGAGAACTGCATGATATGAGGGGGTGAGGCGGAGAACTACATGACATGACGGGGCGAGTGGAGAACTGCATGATATGAGGGTGGAGGCGAGAACTGCATGACATGAGGGGGTGAGATGGAGAACTGCATGACATGAGGGGTGAGATGGAGAACTACATGACATGAGGGGAGACTGAGGTGGAGAACTGGATGAACTACATGAGGGGGGTGAGGTGGAGAGCAACACTGACATGAGGGGGTGAGGTGGAGAACTGCATGACATGAGGGGGGTGAGGTGGAGAACTGCACTTGACATGAGGGGGGTGAAAGTGGAGAACTGCATGACGCGAGGGGGTGAGGTGGAGGAACTGCATGACATGAGGGGGGTGAGGTGGAGAACCATGACATGAGGGGGTGAGGGGGTGAGGGTGGAGAACTGCATGATATGAGGGGGTGAGGGTGGAGAACTGCATGATGGAGGGGGAGAACTGAGGTGGAGAACTGCATGATGCTGGGGGTGGATGATATGAGGGGGTGAGGTGGAGAACTGCATGATATGAGGGTGAGGTGGAGAACTACATGATATGAGGGGTGAGGTGGAGAACTTGCATGATATGGGGGTGAGGTGAGAGGATGATTGAGGTGGAGAACTGCATGACATGAGGGGTGAGATGGAGAACTACATGACATGAGGGGGTGAGGTGGAGAACTACATGACATGAGGGGTGGGGTGGAGAACTACATGACATGAGGGTGGTGAGAGACTGCATGATATGAGGGGTGAGGTGGAGAACATGACTTTGCATGAGACATGGGGGGTGAGGTGGAGGGGTGAACTGCATGACATGAGGGGGAGGTGGAACTACATGACATGAGGGGTGAGGTGGAGAACTGCATGACATGAGGGGGTGAGGTGGAGAACTACATGACATGAGGGGGAGGTGGGGTGCATGACATGAGGGTGAGGGTGAGAACTGCATGACATGACATGAGGGGGTGAGGTGGAGAACTGCATGACATGAGGGGGTGGTGGAGTGGAGAACTGCATGAGGGGGTGAGGTGGAGGGCTGCATGACATGAGGGGGTGAGGTGGAGAACTGCATGACATGGGGGATGAGGGGGTGAGGTGGAGAAGCATGATATGAGGGGGTGGGTGGAGAACTGCATGACATGAGGGGTGAGGGAGTGGAGAACTGAGGTGGAGAACACTTGACATGACATGAGGGGTGAGGTGGAGGAGCACATGACATGACTGGGGGTGAGGTGCAGAACTACATGACATGAGGGGGTGAGGTGCAGACTGCATGACCCAGGGGGTGACATGAGGGGTGGTGGAGAACTGCATGACATGAGGGGTGAGGTGGAGACTGCATGACATGAGGGGGTGGAGAACTGACATGAATTGAGGTGGAGAACTGCATGACCTGAGGGTGAGAGGGGGTGGAGAACTGCATGACATGAGGGGGTGGGGTGAAGAGGGGGGTGAATACATGTTTGCGGAGGGTGAGGTGGAGAACTGCATGACATGAGGGGTGGGGACATGAGGGGGGTGGTGGAGAACTGCATGACATGAAGGTGGAGACACTGCACATGACATGAGGGGGATGAGGTGGAGAACTGCATGACATGAGGGTGAGGTGGGGAACTGGGGGGAGGTGGAGAACTGCATGACATGAGGGGTGAGGTGGAGAACTACATGACATGAGGGGTGAGGGAGAACACATGACAGAGGGGTGATGACTACATGACATGAGGGGGGTGAGGGAGAGGCTGGAGGGGGTGAGGTGGAGAGCTACATGACATGAGGGGTGAGGGGTGGGAGCATGACAGGGGTGGGCTGGAGGAACTACATGACATGAGGGGTGAGGTGGAAAACTACATGACATGAGGGGTGAGGTGGAGAACTACATGACATGAGGGGTGAGGGTGGAGACATGAGGGGGGTGAGGTGAGGCTAACTACATGACATGAGGGGGTGAGGTGGAGAAGAACTACATGAACATGAGGGGGTGAGGTGGAGAACTATGAGGGGGTGAGGTGGAGAACTGCATGACATGAGGGGGTGAGGTGGAGAACTGCATGACATGAGGGGTGAGGTGGAGAACTGCATGACATGAGGGGGAAGATAAGCTGTCACAAACCTGGTGAGTACACAGCAGTACAATGAGGAGAATTAGTGTACTAGTTGAGGCACAAAGCAGCAGCGTCTGAGTGGGAGTACTGTACAGTACTTTACAGTCTGAGTACATACAGTAGTACACCGCCCGAGTACACATAATAATATACCATGGAGGGAATACACTTTGAGTACACACCATGGCAGGGGGAGTCCACTTTAAGTACATACTGAATACACATCATGGCAGGGTACACTTTGAGTACACAGAGTACCATAGATACCATGGCAGGGGATACACACTGAGTCCACACCATGGTGGAGGGATAATCTTTGTCTACATTTAAAATATACACCATAGCAGGGGGGTTACACTTTGAGTACACATCATGGCGTGAGAGTACACTTGAGTACATACGAAGCTTCAGGCTAGATTCCCCGGTTCCTTATTCCACAGTTTCTTTCGGAAATTCCATTATTAGTCTTCACCGCCTTCAAGCCGCTGCTCAGCCATATTAAATTTACCCCGACACAACATTAAGTGAAGCTATGAACAGTATGTTACCCTGGGTACACTGGCGCTGGTATACACATTATTACGTGTGTAAATAAAGAGCAGCTTGACTTGACATTCAACACTGCGGTCCACTACTGTTACAGGGGAAATTATATTATCTTATTTATACTCAAGATTTATGGCAGTGTGTTGAAGAGATTAACTGTACTTGTGTAATATTCTTATAAAATCCTCAAAATTTAACAAGAGACGAGTGTTTCATTGATGCTTAGTGTCGTATCCAGTGTAAACAAAGAGAACAACAATATTCCCATAACTGAACTCAATAATTTTATCCTGAACTGAAATTCAAAACAAAGACCAAAAAACACTCATGATATCTTCTGGAATGACCACACCCCCTCCCCTCCCCTCCAGCAGATGACAAAGCCACAGACAAACAATAGCATAAATATATTCCTCACTTTGAAGATCAGGGAGATAAAATGTTGTACTATAACAAATATTACTACAGTGGGAATTTCATTCATGTCACTTAACTAACACTCAAACTATCAGGACTGGGCCCTTATCTTAATATTGTGCTGGGGTCTATCAGGACTGGACCCCTATCTTAATATTGTGCTGGGGTCTATCAGGACTGGACCCCTATCTTAATATTGTGCTGGGGTCTATCAGGACTGGGCCCCTATCTTAATATTGTGCTGGGGTCTATCAGGACTGGGCCCCTATCTTAATATTGTGGCTGGGGTCTATCAGGACTGGGTGTGCTGGGGTCTATCAGGACTGGGCCCCTACCCTATCAGACTGACCCCTATCTGTGCTGCTGGGTCTATCAGGACCGGCCTATCTTAATATTGCTGGGGTCTCTGTGACTGGACCCCTATCTTAATATTGTGCTTCATCAGGACTGGGCCCTATCAGTGCTGGACCCCTATCTTAACATTGTGCTGGGTCTATCATGACTGGACCCCTATCTTAATACTTGCTGGGGTCTATCAGACTGGGCCCCTATCTTAATATTGTGCTGGGGCTCCATCAGGACAGGTCCTATCTTAATATTGTGTGGGGTCTATCAGGACTGGACCCTATCTTAATATTGGCTGGGGTCTATCAGACCGACCCCTATCTTAATGTTGGGCTGGGGTCTACTCAGACCAGAGCCCCCATCTTAATGTTGGGCTGGGGCTATCAGGACTAGGCCCTATCTTAATGTTGGGCTGGGGTCTATCAGGACTAGGCCCCCATCTTAATGTTGGGCTTGGGGTCTATCAGGACTAGGCCCTCATCAAGTCCCCTGTTTTATGTTGGGCTGGGCTCAGGGGCCCATCAGTTGGGCTGGGGCAGGCCCCTATCTTAATGTTGGGCTGGGGTCTATCAGACCTAGGCCCCCCCTTAATAGGCTGGGGCTATCAGAACTGGGCCCCTATCTTAATGTTGGCTGGGGTCTATCAGTTCCGGGCCCCTATCTTAATGTTGGGCTGGGGTCTATCAGACTAGGCCCTATCTTAATGTTGGGCTGGGGTCTATCAGGACTGGGCCCCTATCTTAATATTGTGCTGGGGTCTATCAGGACTGGGCCCCTATCTTAATATTGTGCTGGGGTCTATCAGGACTGGGCCCCAATCTTAATGTTAGGCTGGGGTTTAACAGGACTGGGCCCCTATCTTAATGTTAGGCTGGGGTCTATCAGGACTGGACCCCTATCTTAATGTTAGGATGGGGTCTATCAGGACTGGGCCCCTATCTTAATGTTAGGCTGGGGTCTATCAGGACTGGGCCCCTATCTTAATGTTGGGCTGGGGTCTATTAGGACTGGGTACCATCTGACCAATCACCAGTGTCGAAGGCTAAAGAATCAAACCCTTTATGAGACACAGTGTGAGAATCTTTGTGTGGTGGTAAAGTGTGATTTTCTGTGCCGTTCTGTGTACATTCTTGTAGTTAATACCCCATTGATGCCTCCAACTTTTCATCTGCTTGGAGTTTCAATCTTAAAAGTTTAAAATGATTGGATTCAGATATAATATTCCTATGATCTTTGTCAGTGGATTCAATACCCCAATCCTATATGTACAATGGCTATACTAGTCCTTGAGAGTAATTTGTATTTTATTACTGATTAGTCTTGTTGTAACGGTAAGGTGTGCTGTGGGGGCCCTAAGTGTACAGCACAGTCAGGAAGTTTGTCTCAAGAGCAGTGATGGACTAAAATCCTGCCCATGTATGGTGGTACTCGAGACTAAACAAAAAAACGGGCATCAGGGGAAACTCACTCATGTATACGGCCGTTTCTTTTCTTTCCTTGGATAAAACCCAATGTCCCGCAACAGTAACCAATAACCCTGTCTTCTGCAAACTAAAACAGGTCAGAATACATCATTACTGTACCGGGAAGGAGCATCTGTTTGTACCACATAAGAAAACGAATATAAATACATACTGCATATTCTTATGGTTTATTTTTCTATTAAGCTTTTCCTCACATGCTGTACAGTGACACAGACACTCTCACAACATCACTTTTTGACTATGGTGCACCTGTCAACACAGCACACCCATCCTCCACACAGCACACCCATCATCCACACAGCACACCCATCATCCACACAGCACACCCATTCATCACACATCACACCCACACCAAACAGCACACCCATCCTCAATACAGTACACCTATCCTCCACACAGCGCATTCAACCACCACACAGAGCATCCATCTGCCACACATCGCACCCACACCACACATCGCACCCACACCACACATCGCACCCACACCACATCGCACCCATCCTCCACACAGCACACCAATCCACAAAACAACTCATGGCATTGCTTTCACTTTTTTACATTTCTTCCTATTTTACCTCTCTTCTTCTTCTATTCACCATTTTCACTGACTCTTCCTCTTCTTTCATCTAGTGACCATGGTTTACACACACATATAATAATATCAGCTCAATTATTCTTCTATAATTCTCTAACTCCGTTCTCGCTGACACATTTCTCTCTCTCTTTAGTTCTCAATATCTCCTTCCCAGACACTTGATATACAGTACTTCATTTCTTGTCAATAATTTCTCCCTATCTCACTTCTCTGCTTATTTTCATCACCTTCTTATCTGTTTAAATTCAATGTTAAGTTTATCTGAGTACACAATAGTCTAAACTTATTCACTAGTATTGGATCACGTGAAGATTTGCCCCAGTCTATCTCACCTGATGATGAAACACCCTGCCACTACCTGGGGGTTAGGTTAGGTTAGATCGTTATAGTAAAGGACAAGGGCCCGGATTAATCAGCTACCTAACAAAAAATCTCTTTAAAGAAAAATTATTTTTACCTCAAGAATAAAACAACTTAGGTTGAGGAATAACACTTTTTATAGGATTTGTTTTGCTCTTCAGCTGTTTACGTGAGGAGGAGGAACTTCCAAAGACATTAACATTATTCCATTTTATAAATAAGAAACAACAGTCGCAACTTAACAACACTTTTGTGTGTAGACAATAATGAGAAATTATTCTATCTTACATTAAGAAGAATATCTCAAAAGAGGACAAATATGATTTAAATTTTTTGTAATAATATAAGTCTGGCGATACACGCGATCACTTCCTCGCAACGTTGTCGGTGTTTCTATAAACACGAACATTCCGGTGAGTATTATTACACTAAATTATAATTTATCTTAGGTAAAATACGATATTTTTCATTAGGTAGCTAGTTAACCTGGGCCCCAGTTCTTTACTATTACTGATTAGAATAGGTTTGGTTAAGTTATGATGGATTAGGGAAGGCGAGCATTAGGGTGCATCGTCTTAGGTGAATAAGCTGGGGTTAATCTTCAGTCATCCACCAGGGAGTGATGCCAGCAGGCACGGGATGACCTGTTATTGTCATTGTGTTGCCTTCACCCATAGAGTGGTAGGGGTTTGTCTCAGCTAAATAAAGTTTCTTGGCATTAGCCAGAATACAATACTCCTTAATGGAGATAATTTATTAATGGGATAAGGTGCTTCTACTTTCTAGGTTATTTACACTGTTCGATCACAACTACAAGGTCTATTACAGTATATAATATTTCTTTACAATATTTACTATGGCTGAACATCATTGTTAAAAAGATACCATATACTAAAGGTGTTAATGTATTACAACATACTGTAGATGGTGAAGTTAAGTCACTTACATAGACTATACAGTATGTAGTTTTATCCATTATTAAATCTACACTAGAGTACAGACATGCCCTACAGCTACACACTATGGGTTAGTACACACACACTGACAACATTACAGTATACGGTTAACATATATACTTGAACTTTCCATCTATAGCTAACTAATGCGTGTTGTTTAGTAGAGAGAAACATCACTGTGAGCTATGGCTTAGTACTGATACACCTCACCACTACCACAGTCTGCAGCTTAGTGATCACATCAACACTTTATTACTTAACAATTACAATGTACTGTACCACCTCAATCTATGCTCGGTTTAGGAAGTACCTGTAGTTGCCAGGTCCAGTTCTACATTACTGTTTGCCAGAGAGCCGAGTATAGTGCAGCAGCCTAGGCCAGGAGCCAAAACACTACTGTAATGGCCTGCACGGTTCACGCAGACATACGAGACTGATTTAGTTCCAGTAAGCAAGCACACACAGCCACAGTGTGTCAATCTGTCAGTTACGTGCCTTAACTCAAGATCACCAGGTACGGCAGAGTCAGGTGTCAGGTTCGTTATCGACCATCGTCAATGATATTTTGTGTACGTCAACATCTTCTCCGGCAACAATATGTTAAGAGACGGATCCTGGTGGGCAGACTTAATGATCTGCAGCCGAGCGTGGCACAGTCATGTAAACATCTACAGTCTGTGCCTACTACGCTATAGATCAACCTACCAGTGCAATAAAGAACTTGGTCACTAACATACACTATGGCACACTTCACAGGTATATCTTAACTACATTTCAATTAAAAGCAACATGAATTCTTACTCATGGGATTAACGTTTGAGACATTTCTACCAACATAAACATCTGTATTTTAATTTGTATTTATTTATATGTTTTTAGTATTGTAAATCATTTTTTTTAATTACAACAACATTTAGCATTATCTAACTCCATCAAACTGAACTTCGCAAACAAAGGTGAGTGAGAAATGTTCTTTTATTATTATTTCTTCAGATTTCTATGTCTGTGTCTTAGTTCTATTCAGTATTTGCCTGGTTTCTATGCACTGTATGTATCTATGTAACATATCTATCTTAGCAAATACCTGGTATCTTTGTCACATCTGTGTTACATATATTTACCTAGTACTACTGTATCTATTTATGTTACTGGATACGTACTGTGAATTATCAGTGAGTTATATTGGTCCTTCTAATAATGGCTTTTAAATAGGGTGTTAATTGTTGTACAGTATAAATGAGATTAACTATGTAGTTTGGTCCACAGTGGCCACCTCGTGTTTGGTCCACAGTGGCCACTTCATGTTTGATCTATATTGGCCAACCAAGACCATATTGGTTAAGTCCACTATGGCCCTCCAACACCATAATGGTTAGGTCCACAGTGGCCATATTAGCTAATAGTGAAATTAATGACAAAAGTGTACCATTACACGGTACAAGTTAGTAGATTACTGTGCATCTTACATAAGTTGTTAGAAGAAGAGTAACTAGTAGTGTACTATACAGAGCACAATGTACAAGGTGACAAGTGTACACGTCCACTGTACATCTTAAATAACTAAATCGTAAGATCCAAAGTGTCTAGTAGTGTACAGTGACAAGTGTACCAATACGCTGTACAAGATTAGTGTTAGGTTACAGTAGGGGGCTCAACTTACTGGCAGTCCGGGGGGGCCGCTACTCCCATTCCTGCCTTCCAGACCCTAGGCAAGGCAGGGCAATGTTAACACCCGCACCACACACAGATCTTAACCACTTTATCATATCACTGAGTATCAAGATGAAGTACAATTTTTTTAAGAGACGACTCCAAATCAAATAATATTCACACACAACAGAAATGAACAAACTTATCATGTCATAACTATGGGCAGTATAGGAAGGGGTATAAGCACGTATAACCTGAAGATGCACTCACGTCAACAAAGATACAAGAGACTAACACATTTAAGGTGCAGATAGTATATCAAAAGTCTTATTATTCCCATTTGGTAAACAATTCATGACATTTATAGAATGTATAAGCACGTGTAACCTTAAGATGCACTCATGTTAATAAGAAAACAAGAGAATATCATGTTTAAGGTACAGATTGCATGTTAAAAGTCTCATCAAGTGCATTATTCCCATTATTTAAACAATTCATGATATTTATGAACTGTATAAGCAGACTCAAGCAACAAGAAAACAAAAGACCATTTCGTTTAAGGAACAGATAACGTGTTAAGTCTCATCATCATGTTATTCCTATTTTGTAAGTACAGTGACCCCTCGGTTAACGTAATTTCGATTAACGAACTGCCTTCCATAAGGATCTTCAATTCAGTTAACGAAAAAAAATTCGGTTAACGAAGTTCTTACGAACCGACCTCAACATGTTTTCGCTTGCACTGACCGGGCAACCAGCTTTAGTATCAGTCCGCCAATACATTAATCGGTTCTAGGGCTTAAATTCCTTAATATTTTAGTAAATATCAAGAAGTATATACTATTCAATAATTTTAAAAGTTTAATATTTAATTTTTTAGTCATTTTAACAATTATTGAACATAATTGAAGGTAAAGTAACTAGTTTAATGCGCGGCATCCAGCCTCTTAACACAGCAAACAGGCGTCAGTCTCTCTCTGTTTTCACTGGAGGTAACATCTTGCTTGAGACTCTCTTCAACTAAACGCTTTTTTTCTGTGTTTCCAAGCAAATTATTGGTCATTTTGAAATATATTTTACATATTGACAATATATAATGCAGTGCAGTGTTGATTTAAAAAATAATCTTGAATTACACCAGAGAGCTAAAATTTTATGGGTGAAATAGGCGCCATGGGGTGACTTCTCTTCCACCCCAATGCCTTCTCTTCTTCCTTCTCCTCCACCCCCATTCTAAATCCCATCATCATCATCATCATCCAGGAGCCTTCTACATACACACCTCAAAGTAAGTGAACTTTTCTACCATTTTTGTTGAATTTAGGAAATTTTCGGTGAGCTGGAACCAATTACCCAAAAACCCATTGAAACAATGGTTTCGGTTAACGAACTTTTCGGTTAACGAACTTTTCGGTTAACGAACGACCTTCTGGAACGGATTGAGTTCGTTAATGGAGGGGTCACTGTAGTTCATTACATTTATACACTGTTCAATTCTATAATCAACTTGTAAATGCATCAGTTAAGAGTGTCATCTGCTGGGTGTATCAAACAAGTAGACCTGTTTAGTAGCTGCATCACTCACTACACCGCAGTCCACTACATGATGCCGTAGCCAGGTATTAATTATGACTGACATAGACCAAATGATGAATCACCTTAAATATGCACAAGTACCAAGGATTACAGAGACCAAGTGATATATTTACCTGCTTATTATTGTATTTTTGTATCGTCTTCACTACAGCTCGTTCTGAACTTCTGTGATTACTGTATTGTGAAGTTTACATTGTCAACCACCTTAAAGTTGTGTTATACATTGTATTTTAAGGTCTAGTGGTACTGTATATGTATCCAATAATTAAAATGAATGTCTATTATTTGTATTATTATCATCAAATCACCAAAGTTCATAATATTCTTTATCTACAGTATACTATTTCCACCTGTTATTCCCCAAATCATTAACAATTTTATCATTATCATCACAGTGAGTGTAAGTGCAGGCTGCCGCAGTCACATCCCTCCCTCAGGTGTGCTCAACAAGACCAAAATTGCTCACAGGTAAACCGCTCGGTCCTATGGGTCCAGGGAGGCCGTCCATACCTGGGATCCCCATTATGCCCCGAAAACCCTGGTCCAGGCCACAGACATGGGGACCACGGACATGGGGTCACAGACACATCATTATCAGGAAGAAGGAGGGAAGGAGGGAGGGAGAGAGAGAGAGATATAGGACAAAATAAGGATAAATAAGTGGTGAAGGGGATGGTGTTCACACAGTTGATGATGTGACTTGGTAACATACTTGAGTAGTTAGTGTACATAACCGAACTTAAGTCCTCATTTGAACTGTACTTAGAAATATTTTATTATTATTATTATTATCACTATATTTACTTGGTCATACATATTACTCAAATCATACCAGTTAATTATTCCACTGGGGGTCATAAATAACAACACTCACATGATAAACCGTAAATATATTAACTGTATGAGGACAAACAACAACAATTCTCAGTCAGTCAGTACATCAGCTATGAACACCACCACCTCCCACCGCCTTAGTTCACAACAAAGTGAGAGTTGGGGTGTCTGTCAAGATGGTTTGTTAAGAGAACAGAGCCTTAATATATCAGACATGGAAAAAAAAATATTGTGAAGTTAAAGACAGTAAAGAGAAGATGAAGTTTGATAAAGGTAAATAACAAAGCATTAATAGTGAGATTACTAAGCATACTAAGCTGGGGTAGATCCAGGTGAGGTAGAGAGGGCTTGTGGGGCCTTGTGTTGAAGTTGTACCTCACACACGCTCACAAACTCTAAGCAGCTACGTAAATATTGTACTTGAGTTCATGATATACAAATTTGCTTTTAGAGGAAGTTGTTTCTTGAATTCTTGATAATTTAACATTTGTTTGATGAATTTGTGAGGCCAATCTCTCCTCTCGAGGCAATATGTGCCGTACGTGGACTTACCCCAGTGTTGAGAAGGTGACACCAACAATAACACAAGCCAGACTAATAATACACAATCATAGTGCATAGGGGAGGGGTAATAAAATAATGAAAATCTAACACAAAAAATAAAACTGAAATAAATTGAATACTGAAACTTTTATGTGAAATAAACTTAAAACAAAGCCTCTATACTGAGAGGTAAATGATGGCATTATGCTAAGGGGAATATTTACTGGAATACATTCAGACCATCAAGCTAGGTTAGGAGGTGTTGGTTCAGTACTCACTCGCTCGCCTTGTGGTCCAAGTGGGCCGGGTGGACCTTGTGGCCCGGGCGGTCCACCCACACCTGGACCCCCCGTCTCACCAGGGGGCCCCGGTTCTCCTGGGTAGCCATCACGACCATCCATGCCCGGCAGACCATCCTTACCCCCGGGTCCTGGAGCCCCTGGGGGACCCGGACTACCTGGGTCACCCTGAGAGAACACATGTTAGTATAGCGGTCATGGCTGCTGCTGCTGAATGTATTAATATTATTTATTTGTTTACATTACACCCGATATGTTTTCTCGGCTATACCGTGCACCTTATATAAAATATTTAATGAACTAAGGGAGTATAATCTGATTCTATAATTTGTAAAACTATTGGAATGAGTGAAGCCATTCAGTATGTCAACACCTAGTGTATATGTTTACTTTGAGGCTAAACTGCACTAATCTGACTGTTCATGGTTAATTATGAGGAAACCGTTACCACCAAGAGTTGTTAGATTTCGTTAATTTTTTCCACAGATGTTCTTTGGATGATAGTAAGTAAGTAAGTATTTATTTTTTTAGTTTTTCTCTAACTATAATCATAAATGACCTGTAGTGGGCAGGGTATGAAGGACATTGCAGGGTAAAACAAGGTGAAAACTGATCATATGACACTGAAATGATATTTTCTATCTGCTTTCAACATTAAGAAATTAATTATTGACCATAAATATTCCTCTAAAAAATCTGCCATTGTCTGCTTGTTGTTTGTTTCTCACCCACCCGCTCAGTCCGAGAGTACAGTACTCTGATGTCCACAAAAAACGTAAAATGACACCATTACACTTCAACTAAGTTGCTTTCATTTGGTACCAGATATCAAAATAAATAGTTTCTGTTTAATATGGCGGTAAAACTGCAGATTACAGCAACCAAAGAATCTGATAAAAAATATGTGTTTTTCTGATGGTTTTGATGCGATTGGTTCAAATCTGAAATTCGTTTTTATCAGAAATCACTTGTTTTGAATTTAGCCCCCCCCCCCCCTCCCCCCATAATAGTTCTATCAATTGTATGTTCTGAATAACCTCCTAAAATAAACCTCGAGTTGCATGGTCAGCCTCCACAAGAATATAAATAGCCGTTAGAGTACTGTATTTGTTACCCTACTACAAGTCAGGGTCAGACTACATCGTGGGGTCCTCTGTTCTCTAAAGTTTCCTTCGTTTTAGAATGAAATAATACAATAAACTTCTAATAATCGAAATCACACCCAGCACATAATGGCTCCATGTTGCAACTGATTAAAAATGTCCCGCATCCTACCACCCAAGACGAATATTGAACGCTAATTGGTTGAATCAAAAGTTGAGATTTTTTGAGGGATTTGATTGGCTGCCACCCCTACCCAAGATTTGATTGGCTGCCACCCCTACCCAAGATTTGATTGGCTGCCACCCCTACCCAAGATTTGATTGGCTGCCACCCCTACCCAAGATTTGATTGGCTGCCACCCCTACCCAAGATTTGATTGGCTGCGGCCACCCCCCGGCACATGCGCGGGAGGTAAGCTAACGTATGAACGCACACAATTTGAGCAACAGCGTAGGGGCAACAGATGCTCTGATATTATTCTTTTTAAAATTCAATAACTTCCTTATAATCAATTTGCGATGGAAGTGTAACATAAGAAAATTATCATAGAAAAAATAGTTCTATCGATTGGGCATATTGAATTTCCAGAATTCTGTGGTTGCTGTAAACTACAGTACAGTATTACCAATATGGCAGGGTGTCGGGGGTGGGGGGGGGGGCAGAGCCCACGGGTAGGAAATTTGGTAAAGTTAGGGCAATTATATAGGACTAACCCGCCAGCAAAATTGATTGAAAACAATTATAAAAACGCCGGATTTTCATTGTTATATTATAGTGGACATTGTTGTAGTTTGTGGAAATATGTTAAAAAAAAATTATATTTTTAAAATAAACGCTACTTAATATATGTGGGTATTAAGAACAGACCTCACCAACCAAACCAAACAAACCTACCTAACCTTACCTAACTTCCCCGGTATAATAAACAGAAAGAACTTACTATGATATGGTGAAATTTGAAGCATTTTTCTGGACTTATTACAGTACAGTATTTTATGAAGTGGAAAAAAAATCCGTAAATTTTTCCTGGTGGCAGTGGTGTTCTCATACATCATCCTTTTCGTAATAAAACTTATGGCAGTAATATCACAAACAAATGTTAACATGAGAACTATAATACAAAATTCATACTCGGCCAAAAGTAATCCTGACAATAACAATGAAATATGGTTAAAGTTAGCAGAGTACCATGAATAGAACCGCTAAATAACTTATTTCTCGACTCAACGGCACCAGCCAAGCAAACTTAAAATAAACTACTCTAGCTAAATCCATAATAGGATCATAAGTTTGGGTTAGGGTAGAGTAGGTTTGTGTCATTGTTAAATTAAAAAAAAAAACTTTGATTTTGTTCGTGATAGTTTTCTAACATTCACCGTCTATCAGTGTTCCTGGACATTAAAATTTTAGACACATGTATTTGATAAACCTAATATAAAAATAATGTCTAAACACATAAGAAAATTTGAGTTACTGTAATATAAGATGAATTAAAATGAAGATACATTTTGGCAGATTATTTTGCCAATAGTGAATTACTTGTTTATTCTAGCAGTTAAAATAATCCTATATCAAGTTATCAACGATATTTTTATCCTTTACAATATAATATACTTAATGGCATGCATGAATATTTATATATGAAATTTGAAATGATTTATTTTATTCAATGAAACAGTCCAAAGAAGTCAGAAGAAAATAAGCGGTCAGAATTAACTAATCTATGACAAGGGCCAACAGTCATGCACTTAAGAACTCTGTAAATTTGCTTCAATAAACAGAGTAATGGGGAGTAACTAGATTTAATATTTACTATTCTATCAGTCAACAAGATAGTAACAAGCAGTGACTTACTTTAATAGTTACAATTCTATAAGAGTAAACAAAAGAGTAACAAAGCCTGACTTACTTTAATAGTCAATAATCTATCCAGAGTCAACAACAGAGTAACAAGGAATGACTTACTTTAATAGTTACTATTCTATCAGAGTCTATGTAATCCCAGCCACCTCCTGGAGTTCCCTGCAACAAGGGCGTAAGACACACACAGTCAAGACGGGACCAAAGAAAACGTTGACCAGAGGAGAGAACATGGAAGGGGGCAACTATAGCAGACATGTATAAGTGGACTCTTTCTTAATATCATTCATTAAGGAACTCCTTTATTAAGCCTCCTTTTAGAGTCAAAATTTGTTTAACTACGTTAATCACAAAAACAACAAAAAAAAACAAAATATATGTTCGGAAATATTAACATATGAAACAAAAAATTAAATATTAGTAACATGATAATATAATAGGCCATGTTTGTAACATATTATATTAAACAGGAGTAACAAGAAAAATAAATGCAACTATATAAAAACATTTAAACAAACTTGAACAATTTAGTTAGTGGATTTAGAACATTCAAATAACGACAAGTTGACACAGAAAATCGCGTGAAAGGAACGAGCAAAAAAAAAAAAAGTTAGTTGATAAAAAAGGTGAACTGTGAGTTACTGTGAAGACTCATTCTGGAGGTGTTGTGCGAGGGAGTTTTTTTATGACGCCTTGAATGATATATATGAGGGCGGGACAACATGGAGGACACGAGCGAGCAAAAACTCTGAGGCCTACTATGTTGGGAAAAATATTACATTCAGAGTCGGAGTAAACCATTTTTTAAGTAAATGTTATTTAGAAACCAAATTAAACCAAGGATTGCTGTGATAGGTTGTATTGTTTGTTTTAAAATATAGATGGGTTAGTGGTATTTTTCCAACACAGCAGGTTTTGTTCGGAACACACGGATGGGACAGTACTGTACAAGTGCTGGGATTAGTAAGACAAAACAAACTAAAATGTCTGGAAATAATAAAACAAGTTATTTAAAGATCTCTCAAATGAAGAAAAACATCTACGTACAACTAAATCATATATTCTGTACAGTGAGTTATACGTACTTTAAATATATACATAGAGTGTTAGTGAACTACAAAACTAAAGAACATCAGCATGGAAGACATTAGCACAAAACTACATTATATACAGTGTCAATAATACCATAAACAATCCTATCACTGTAATAAGCCCGTACACAGCGAAGCATATATGTACAAGGTTAGTACACAAACAACAAACAGCTAGGTGAGAGGTAAACACAAGCCTCGGGGTGTTAGTGTGAGTTTGCCGCCAGCGAGGAGCATCTGATGGCAACACTCATCACACCACACTGAGAGAAAACACAGAATAATGTCAACTACGCCAAGACGTCACAAATAAACACGATAGCTATGAGGGAAGGGAAGCAGGTATATACTGTATATTACACGAGACACTACAGGAACATCGCATTTAAAAAAACACTGAAGTCTGAGAGCAAAGCAACATCGATGACGTCACAAAAGCCACGCGCCACTACAGGGTTACCAACACCAGAAGAAAAGTCGCTCCCAAGGGTCGTGTTACCGGAGTAGTGTCTCACCTTAATAGCGATGATTTCTGCATAGCCTAAAGTGCCACCCTCCAAGCTTGTTATAGATCTTTTAATGCCCTGAAATAAAATGTGAGTGGTGTTCGTTAAGCCTGACCACACTGAAGCTGCAAGGGTCAAATATTTACCCGCTGAAGCTGGTATGTCTTTGAAGGTCTGAAAAAGAACACTTAAGAGGGAAAATAGGAACTACCTGTTGAATTAGTACCCAAGCTGGCCCTCCTCAGGTGAAGCATTGACGGCCCCTACCCTAACGGGGCCCAGTTCTAATGGGCCTCTGTCCAAATGGTTTAGTTCAAAAAGTGACAGTAGGTCCCAAAGGCGTGATAGTTTAGATACAGCATTAACAGCTGAAAGAACTGGGGTGTCCTGGGATCGAACTAGTGACACTTAGGACCCGAGACGATCACTGCATCCACTCGGCCGCCAAATAAGGCTACCCTAATCATTAACAATGGAGTGCGGCGGTACAGGCACTCCCAGTTCACCCAGCTGTAAATGGGTACCTACGTTTACAATTTGGGAAAGTGACTGTGGTGGAGTGCAGTCCCGGCCATGCTGCCTCCTTGAGTATGGTGATCAGATGTACTGTATCGACACGGGCCCTAACAGACAGACAACCATGCCTAGAGGACCCACTTTCAATCATTATGACTGGGGCCCCTTAGAATTGGGTCCCATTAGTATTAAACCCAAATCCTAATGGTGAAGTTAGGGTGAACCCATTAAGACTGGGCCATATCTAGTGCGTCACCAGAGCAATAATGTACAAAATATATTCACCAGAAAACCTCCACACCTCTGACTTCACTACAACACTCGCTTAAGTAATGGACAGTATTAATACCTAACTCTTATCACCCACTACGACCATTATTAGTTATTGAGTATTTACAACTGTAGTATTAATGATTAAGAGGGCAACTTCCGCTGTAGATCTGTGAAACAAGTGAGCATCATCTACATACAATGGCGGTCGCTTACACTGCTAGACACGACTGTACATTATATTGACACTGAAACTTGAAAATAAACATGGTAACCTCAAAACAAACATTCATTAAACAGATAAAGACGTACAAAAAATAGAGGCCCACTCACCCACCTTGTATATTCTTAAGCAAAAAATACGACATAAGATAAAATTTGACTATTTTCGTCTGAATAATGAACGGCCTATAGATCTGGTTCGTGTTGCTTTTCTAACACTGGCAGCCGGTTCCTGGTGCTTTCCCAACATTAAAAACCGGTTCCTGGTACTTTCCCAACATTGGCCGGCATCTTTACAACAAGGCCGGTACGGTGTAGGGCTTGTCTTAGTATTAATGTCGGCAACTCCATAAGTAATTCCCGACGTCAAATGATACCACAACGTCGACTGCTATTAAAAACAAACATGGCGGCGGTGTGGGAGAAATTACACCTCTTCTCTGTGCATATGACATCAAGGTATACACACACAACTGTACATTCAGGAATAAACTTAATATATTAAGAGCCTAATCGGATTGTATCGATTACAAGAATGTCTAATCACTAATCTGACGTGATTTAACCCAATCCAGAACTAAGCTTACCAGACAACCCAATCTAATCTAAACCTATCCAATCCTAACGTAACCTGACTTAAACGAACCGAACCGAACCTAACCAAACCTAACCAAACCGAACCTAACCAAACCGAACCTAACCAAACCTAACCTAACCTAACCTAACCTTACACTAATGTGACCAAGCTAACCTAGCCTAACTTGACTAACTTAGGGTAATATAAGCCTATTCTAACTTAACCCAATCTAACCTAACTTAGCACTAGTCTAAATCGACCTCCTCAACCTGATTAAACCTAACTTAACCCAACCCCAACTTGTATTAACCTAGTCTTAACATAACCAACCTTAACCTAACTTTACTTAACCTACCTTAACCTACTCTTAGCATAACCTACCTTAACCTAACCTACCTTAACTTAACCTAACCTTAACCTACTCTTAGCGTAACCTACCTTAACCTAACCTACCTTAACCTACTCTAGCATAACCTAACTTTACTTAACCTACCTTAACCTACTCTTAGCATAACCTACCTTAACCTAACCTACCTTAACTTAACCTAACCTTAACCTACCCCCCCTCCCCCCCCGTCTGAGTACAAATATCATTATACTTTAACAGTCACTCCCTCACCTGGGTCTGGTTAATGTTGCCACGGTTCAGTAAACATTGATCACTCGACTCAAAGAAGGTAATTAAGTCTGTTAACTGAGGCGAAAAACATAATCCAGCCGCCCGTGTTGACTGCATGGTAGAGTGTAGTCACCAGGCATCTCAGGTGACAGTATTAACGTCCAGGTAAAGCAAGATATCGTTTTTGCTTTGTTTTTAATATATTTTAATTTTTCATATATAATTTTCTTTTTTATTTTGTGTAAGGATTTGTTATGTGTCTTATTTTTGTAGTAATTAATCAAATAAATATAAAGTTGCACAAATACCGATAGATTTATAGATGAAACGGACGATGAACACACACACGCACAGGTAATTAATCTCTCCGTTTCCTGATTAAAAATATGGATAAAAGAGCAATATGTTCTTAATGTTCCTTAATACAAGAGACAGACGAAGGCAATTGGCTTAAACGGATTACACCTTCAGTAATCGATCTCAGGGCCTCTAGTGGAAAAAGTTAAAATTAATGGATTTGAGAATTAGGAACACACAAGTAAAAACTAAAACCGAGTTCTAAAATAAAAGAAGTAATGAAGATCAATTTAAATATCAATCACGAAATAACGAAACAAAAACCGAAAATGACGTCAGAGTAACAAAGACACGAAAAGATAAGGAAAATAATGATAAATAACGAAAGAAAGAACAATAATAATCACCGAGAATAAAACCTAAAAAATATAACGAAGCTGAACGAAAACGAATATAAAAATCATCATATAACAAAACTCAACGGGAATAACAATACAATTTTACGAAGCATAACAATAATTAACGAAACAACAACCATAACGAATAAATGAAAATTAACGAAATTAGCAATCATAAGCTAACGAAAACCAACGAAACTAATCACAATCATCTAAAGAAAATTAACGTAAATTAAGCTTACATTCAACAAATTCCTTAAGGCAATAAGATCGCTAGTTATGAATCCCGTATGATAATAAATCCCCAAAGTAGTATTATAAATCGCTAGTTAAGTCAAATAATCCTTTAAATATGACAAGAAATCGCTACCTAGTCAATAAATCCATCAAGTATGATAATAAATCGCTCTTACAATGAATTAATCCCGTATGGTAATAAATCGCTCTTACAATTAATTAATCCCGTATAATAAATCGCTCTTACAATTAATTAATCCCGTATAATAAATTACTCTTACAATTAATTAATCCCGTATGGTAATAAATTACTCTTACAATTAATTAATCCCGTATGGTAATAAATCGCTCTTACAATGAATTAATCGTATAATAATTTACTCTTACAATTAATTAATCCCGTATAATAAATTACTCTTACAATTAATTAATCCCGTGTGATAATAATTCGCTACTTAAGACTAATACATAAATTGCCATTCAGCGCTGAGGGCCTGTGTACAGTACCTTCGCCTTGGAGAATATCGTAGCCGCTCCCTGGTTCACCCTTGGGACCCTCTCTCCCAGGGACCCAAGTGGACCCTGCTCACCCTGCCAAGAGAACCAAAATTAATATCAATTCACTGCAAGAAAAAACAACTTATAAAAACAGTAAATAAAATATATATCATCTCAATATCTAAAGTCAAAATTATTTCCTGCAAAAATAATTTATAGTAATAAATTATAGTTTTTTATATTGTGTTTTGTTAATAGGACTCAGTGAACGATAATAAGGGTAATAAAATAATTATAAAATGTACTGATATATAATTACAAGTGGATCATTAGGGGGGAAAATATAACTAGATTTTCCTACAACCTTCCTCAACGCCTTCACTCACAACACTGAAGTCTACGGTCACAGTCACCCGTATTTAACATACAATGGCTGAGTTGAGTTGCCAGGAATCAGTACTGTTATCATGATGCCATAAAGATTTAAGACTATCGATGTTATGAATGTAATTATTTACTTTTTCAGTTTCTGTGATGAAAATGAAGGTAAGGTAATTATAAAATATGATTATAGGACCAACAACTTTGAGAGATAATAAGCAAAATAGGTCATGTGGCAACTTACCGGCTCACCCTTAGGACCGTCCAAGCCGATGGGTCCCTGAAAGAAGATAATATTTATAAACACACACCTACAAGGGCTTAATTATGAACGGCGGGCGTCCAGTCAAATACATATGTTCTGTGTCTGTTTATTTTGCATGATTTAAATTTTAGCTGGCCTTGTTATCTTGATAAAGCTAATGTAAATCCATGCTCAAAGCTTTAGTATTGTTTGGCACTGTAGAAGTTAATCTATTTTATTTTATTAAGAATATTCAGTTCAAACTTTGATAAATATAAAGAATTATGATTTATCTCAACTAGTTTATCATGCACCACACAGCTGGGCGACATGCAAGTAACAGGAGTAGCGGGCAAGTGACCGTGCTCCCAACATGCTCCCAACATGCTCCCAACATGCTGCCAACATTCCCAAAGTGCTAAACAAAACAACGGTGCACAAAATGGTCAATGTTACAAAAGTACAACGGAAAGAACCTTATTTTTTTTTGTAGGACATACGAGCCAACCAAACCTAAATTAATGAAATTTATGTCTAGATAGTTATTATATATTAAAAATAATTTTAAATTATATGATTTATGAAAAAAAAAATCATCTGCTTTAAAAAGAAAGTTTAGCAGCCATATCCGCGGTATTTTTCTAACACTGGCCAGCTAACATAGGAGTGAGGTGATCGTGAGCTAGAACACAAGACAATCCCTAATGGTGGTTCAGGGCGCCACACCCTACTCTTCCTTAACACACATGGAAGATTCTACACAGGCAAAGAAAAACTAAATTATCAGGCAGATTTCAACCATTTCCCAAGACACCTTCACGGGCTTGAGATGACTTGAGAAACAAACGATAGCTGGACAACATTTGAGTTAGTTGTTCCTTGAGAGAATTATCAAGCACCTGAATTCACCTGTAGTGAACGAAAATATACTAAGTCACACTACATTTTGACCCTAATCCTAATAGGTTAATCTGTGATCCAAATGTCCTGTAACTTTCTCAAAAATTGGTAGGTTAACGCCTCCCTTAACTGGTGATATAAGAACCCCTCTACCTCACACCAGCCACGACACAGGTCCCTAATGGACTCAAAACTACGCTGAGACTTTACCGTAACCAGCGAGGGTGTGAAGTTAAGGGAGAGGTGTGAGAGTAAGGAGAGGTGTGAGAGTTAAGGGAGAGGTGTAAAGTTAAGGAGAGGTGTGAAGAGTTAAGGGAGAGGTGAAGTTAAGGAAGTGTGAAGCTAAGGGAGAGGTGTGAAGCTAAGGAGAGGTGTGAGAGTTAGGGAGAGGTGTGAAGTGAAGGGAGGTGTAGAGAGTTAAGGGAGAGGTGTGAGAGTTAAGGGAGGTGTAGAGTTAAGGAGAGGTGTGAGAGTTAAGGAGAGGTGTGAGAGAGTTAAGGGAGAGGTGTAGAGAGTTAGGAGATGAGGATTAAGGAGGTGTGAGTTAGGGAGAGGTGTCAGAGTTAAGGAGAGGTGTCAGGTTAAGGAGAGGTGTCGGTTAAGGAGAGGTGTGAGAGTTAAGGGAGAGGTGTGAGGATTGAGAGGTGTGAGGAGTTAAGAGAGAGGTGTGAGAGTTAAGGGAGGTGTGAGAGAGTTAAGGGAGAGGTGTAGAGAGTTAAGGGAGGTGTGAGAGTTAAGGGAGAGGTGTGAGAGTTAAGGAGAGGTGTGAGAGTTAAGGAGAGGTGTGAGAGTTAGAGAGAGGTGTGAGAGGATTGAGAGGTGTGAGAGTTAAGGGAGAGGTGTGAGGAGTTAGGGAGGTGAGAGTTAAGGGAGAGGTGTGAGAGTTAAGGGAGGGTGTGAGGTTAAGGGAGGTGTGAGGATTGAGGAGAGTGTGAGAGAGTTAAGGAGAGGTGTGAGAGAGTTAAGGGAGGCAGTTGAGAGTTAAGGCAGAGGTGTGAGAGTTAAGAGAGGTGTGAGAGTTAAGGAGAGGTGTGAGAGTTAAGGAGACGTGTGAGGTTAACCAGTTGAATCCTTATGTATGACACACAAGATGGCTCCAACATTACACTAAGACTCTACCATAATGAGAAACGTTTATTTATTACCAGGAGTCTCAACAGGATTCTGGCGCCATTTTTAAGACGTATGTTGTTTGTTTTAGTTCAAAGTCAATCAGTTATTTCTTACGGAGAATATTTAGTCGTAAGATTTTTTTATTGTGAATTTTAGTTCATATCACAATCACTATCACCACTATTTCTATCATCACCATCACCACCACCGTAATATCACCATCAGCAGTACCAATCTATCTGAACTCAAGCTACCACCATCACTATCATGACCACCACCACCACTACCACCACCACCACCACCACCACCACCACCACCACCACCACCTACTACCACCACCACCACCACCACCAAGACTACAGGGTCACAGAGCTTAGTTTCCCATATACCAGACAAGAATATACCAATTAAACCAAGTATTAGATAAGAGACCCACGACACGGGAATATAACCCACACACACACACACACACACACACACACACACACACACACACACACACACACACACACACACACACACACACACACACACACACACACACACACACACACACACACACACACACACACACACACACACACACACCTTTCAGGTCAGCAAAGCATTGTTGATCAGCAGTTAACCCCATATTAGTCAGAAACAGCCAGTCCGTGTTCCAAATCCTTCTTAATAGCTGATGCATTTCGACAAATATACCATTAGCTATTACAACAACGGGAGGAAGGTAGGTAGAGTAGGTAGGTAGGTAGGTAGGTAGGTAGGTAGGTAGGTGGTAGGAGGGTGGGGCTGAGGGAGGAGGTGTGGTCACGATGGCAGGAAGGAACTAGTGGCGGAAGGCAGCAGCGGCGGAGGCAGAATGAGGCAGCGAGCGACAGGAACATGAGTTGGCTGTTAGTCATTATTAGCGATAAATTGGACGAGTGCTCCGAGCATCATCACGGACCCTATTGGCAGAAGTAGTAAGGGGGTGAGGGTGAGGTGGGTATACTGACCTGGAGCAGGAGGAGGAAGAAGAAATCATAGAGGAAAGGGAGGAGTAGTAGGAAAAATGGAATGCAAATGGGAGCTACAAAAAAGGGAGAAGAGATAACCAAAGAGAAGGGAGGAGAGGGAAGGGAGGAGAGGGAAGGAAGGACTCTAGTCAGTAACTCAGTATTTCCGTTCCAAAACTTTACTACAACAAAATCATAACAAACACAAATCTGGGTCAAATTTGTCTTCATATTGACATTTTGAAGTTGAAGAAAAAATAATAAAATAATGAAACTAATATGATGAGGAAAACAAGAATATAATAAGAAAAATAATAAAGTAATGAGGAAAAACAGGAAAATTATGAAAAATAATATGAAAATGAGGTAAAATAATGAGATAATGAGGTAAATTAATAATATAATGAGGAATATAATAAGGCAACGAGGAAATAATAAAAATAATGAAAATAATAAGATATTCAGGAAAATAATTAGAAAAGGGGAAAAAATAAGTCAACAGGTGAAGCGTTAAATATTCCTCTAGTTGCCCTTTAAGCAAATCTTAAAAATAAAAATAAATTCCTTAGTGAAGAAATTATTCAACTTTACTAAATTTCGATAAAATAAATGCCCATTTGAATGGTCTAATTATAACTTTAATAATGAAGAATATATAATTAACCTAACATAAATAGGGCCGCTTCTGATGCCGAGGAGAGAAACCGTCAACCAAATTCTCAATAATTCCCAAGTTAAATTTTCCCTTTACTGAGGGTGTAAAGACATATTTAATTGGTTAATATGAATGATAACGATAAGATAGGCTGAAGTGGTATCCAAAATAGCTCTGAAGACTGTAATGTACTTCTATGGTGTTCGTCCTCGGTAATTGCGGGAAAAAATAATGATGGAATCTTTCGAGAATTTGGGGAAGAGATGCGCGTTAGGATTGTGTTAAAACGGTTAAGCCCATGACAAAACTCCCACCGACCGGGAAACCAGGGTAGCCGCGGTGTCCCTTAAGGCCCTGAAATAAAGAAACCGCGGTTAATGCTGCCATCGGCGTGGTGGCAGCTAGATAGATACCCGCACCGCCTGCCATTAGTGCTAGCAACGCCGCGCCCCTCTGACCAACAACCTCCAAAAACCTCAGAGCTTTTTTTTTCTTCCAAATTCAACCTAATTATTCAACATTTAAAATCAACATTAACGTAAAATACTTATAAAACAATATCCCTTAAACAATCAAACTTACAAATACACAAAATAATAATATACTGTAAATAAGACTAAAAATTATGAAAAAATATCAACTTTCTACTACTGTTTCTGTGAGGTAGAGCGAGTCAGAAGAACGCGGCTTTTATATCAGCATTAACCATCATAAAACTACAAACCATTAAACCTACAACAACAAAACATTAACCTAAGATCTTCATTAAGTCATAGTAGGCGTTAATAACAACATTTATTTGGCCAGAAAGCGTTTTAAAGCCGAGATTATTGTTTTAAATAAGACAATGTTGCCACAGGTCCAAGGTTCAGGCGCCACCGTAATACTACATACACTTTTATAAGGTTAATACAATGTTGGTTTATGGCATTAGTTTAGCTACGTATTATAATGTCTGTTACATGTGTTGATTATGAGACCGTCAAGTTAACTTTACAATGAAGTTAACCTAATCATGAAGTTAATTTTATCTTAAAGTTAACATAATCATGAACCTAACATTATGAAGTTAACATTATCATGAAATTAAATAAACCATGAAGTTAAATTTACCACGATGTTAATATTAGAAGTTATCTTTACTATGAACTTAACATAACTACGATGTTAACATTACCATGAAGCTAATTTTATCACGAAGTTACCTTAACCACGAAGTTAACATTACCAAAAGTAAAAACAACCATGAACATTAACACGAAGTTAATATTATCAGGAAGTTACCATCACCACAAAGTTAACATTTTATGGAGAATGTTAAATTACAAACACTGAGACAACACATACAAATTAAGACATAAATCCTCTGAATAAATTGTACGAGTGTGTTGACAAATACACACAGACACGACACACACACACAACGCACTCTAACACTGACACACTTTGTTTACACTCTATACAGCGGAGTTTGTTGACTCTTATGTAAACAAATTCCTTCCTTCCTTATTGCTTTCCTTATCTCTTATTCTTTTACAGCTCTCTCTCTCTCTCTCTCTCTCTCTCTCTCTCTCTCTCTCTCTCTCTCTCCTCAGGTCTTATTTTTATCCCCTCTTTTATCATCTACTCTCCTTCCGTCCTCTCTTCCTGTCCCTTCTATTGACCTCTTTCCTCCTCTCCTTCCCCTCTTCTCATCTTTCATGCCACTCTTTCTTTTCACTCCCCTCCAATTATTCTCTTCCAGCCCCTCAATTCCCCCTCTTCTCTTCTACGTCTCATCTTCCCTCTTCTCCCCCCTCCCAGTCTCCAGGTAGCAGGCAAAAAGCTAAGCGACTCATAACTGGGTACCACCACTAAGGTTCGGTCTGTTTACAACTTAACACGGTTCAGGAGGAGGAGGAGGGAGAGGAGGAGGAGGAGGAGGAGGAAGAGGGAGAGGAGGAAGAGGAGGAGAGAGTGTTCTGAAAGAGGAGGAAGGGGTGGGAGGCGGAGGAGGAGGGGAGGAGGAGGAGGAGAGAAGGAGAGGAGGAGGAGTGTTCTGAGAAGAGGAGGGAAGGGGTGTGAGGAGGCGAGAGGAGGAGGAGGAGTGTTCTGAGAAGAGGAGGGAAGGGGTGTGTGAGGCGGAGGAGGAAGAGAAGGTAGGGATGTAAGGAGAAGAAGAGGAAGAAGAATAAGATTCATCAATCCACTCGTCTTCTCTCCCTCCCTCCACTTCTCTCTCCCTCGCTCCCTCCACTTCTCTCTCTCCCTCCCCTTCTGCTACTTCTCTCTCTCTCTTCCTCCCTCCTCCACTTCTCCCTCCCTCCCCTTCCCTCCTCCCCTCCCCATTTTCTCCCCTCCCTCCTCCACTTCTCTCTCCTCCCCTCCCTCCACTTCTCTCCTCCTCCCTCCCCTCCCCTCACTTCCACTTCTCTCCCTCCCTCCCTCCCCTCCCACACTTCCTCTCCCTCCACTTCCCTCCCTCTCCCTCCTCCTCCCTCCACTTCCCTCTCCCTCCGCCTCTCCCTCTCTCCCTCCCTCCCTCCCACTTCTCTCCCCTCCCTCCCTCCCTCCCTCCTCCCACTTCTCTCCCCTCCCTCCCTCCCCTCCCCTCCCTGCTCGTGTGTCAGACAGGACTCATATCTTGTCCATTATCCTCTGTCTTGCCCTGTCTCCTTCACCCTCTCCTAGTTAACTCCAAGTGACACCTTATTATCCTGTCTTAATTGTTGTTTTTCTTCTTCCTATCTACATCTTTATCATTCCTTCTTCCTCTTTTTATTCGTTTAATAGTCTTCCTTAATTATTGACTGTTATTCTATTTACTCTTCTTTATTTCGTCTTCTTTCTGCATCTTTATCCTGCTGTCTTCTTAACCTCCTTCTAATCCTCCTACTTCTCCTCCTCCTCCTCCTTATGCACCCTATTCCTCCTCTTCTTTCTCCATACACCTTTCTGCTCCCCCTTCCTCCCTACTCCAACTGAGAGGGGGGCTGGTCAGGTGAGGGAGGGGGTGAGGATGGGGGAAGGGTAGGGAGGGGGTGAGGAAAGAGGGTGAGGGAGAGGAGCCAAAGAGAGAGGTGAGGCAGGAAGGTGAATGTAGAGGTGAGGTGGGGTGAGGGAGGTGAGGGAGGTGAGGAGGTCGTCTCTTGCTAACGAATATCACTAGAGACAGGAGTTTACTTCAAGAGGTTCAAGAGGAAGAGGGGAGGAGGAGGGAGGAAGGAGAAGGAAGGGGAGGAAGTGGGAAGGAAGTGAGGGAGGAGGGGGAGGCAAAGGGAGTAAAAAGGGAGGAAGATAGAGGAGGAGGAGGACTAAATACAACAAAGAAGGAAGGGAAAAGGGAGAGAAAGAAAGTGAGAAAGAAAAGGGGAAGAAAGGTACAAGACACGAGAGAGTAAACAACCTCACCCAAGGGGCCACCAAATCGATTTCTGGACACGTGATTGGTCAACTAAGACCCAATCCCAATGTCCCGGATAATCCAGACTCCAAATAGCCAGTCATTATTACTGTATTCAAAATTCCGGATAATCGAAGTACAATCCGGAATGCAGGATAATCAGAAGTTCCGGATAAAGGGGATTTGGACCACACATTTCCGGATAAGGGGGTTTGGACTATGCACATTTCCGGATAAGAGGGACTTGACTGTGCATATTTTCGGATAAGGGGATTTGGACTGTGCGCATTTCCGGATAAGGGGGATTTGGACTGTGCACACTTCTGGATAAGAGAGATTTGGACTAGGTATATTTCCGGATAATCGGGATTCCACACAGCGTACTCAGGGTTTGGGAGACAAGAGGCAGTTCCTTCATGCAGTGCTGGTAACTCACGGTGCTGCCCTGGGGGTCTGGTGGCGACTGTGATGCAAGACAACAAGCAGTACACGTGTCTACTTAATGCAGGGGCAGTAATAATAATAGTAATAGTAATAATGGCAACAATAATCAAAATAATAATAATAATAATAATAATAATAATAATAATAATAATAATAATAATAATAATAATAATAATAATAATAATAATAATAGTAATAATAATAATAAAAAAATTAATAATAATAATAACAATGGCAACAACAAAACAACAATGATAATAATAATAATAATAATAATAATAATAATAATAATAATAATAATAATAATAATAATAATAATATCAATGATAAAAATAATAACAATGATAATAATAATAATAATCATTCACTACCTCATTCAACAATTAAGTATAACTACCAAAAAAATATATAGTTTCTTGTGAATAAGCCTTAGGAATGGACAAATCTTTCCAGTATATCTAAAACATATATCATTCAACAGGCAAAGGGGGGGTGGGGGGGGTCAGGCAACTCACTACAACGGCATATCAACAGGAGGATACAAACGACATATCAACAGTACACAACAGAAGGTTCAACAACAGAGAAACAACAGAGGATTAGTACCGGGAAGCCGTTTTTGCCTGGTGGACCACTTGGACCCTGAAATATAGAGACCACTCGGTTAATTGGGACACTGTTGGGATCGTCTGGTTAATTTGGGACACTGTTGGGATCGTCTGGTTAATTGGGACACTGTTGAGATCGTACTGGTTAATTTGGGACACTGTTGGGAACGTCTGGTAAATTGGGACACTGTTGGGATTGTCTGGTTAATTGGGACACTGTTGAGATCGTCTGGTTAATTTGGGACACTGTTGAGATCGTCTGGTTAATTGGGACACTGTTGGGATCGTCTGGTTAATTTGGGACGGACACTGTTGAGATCGTCTGGTTAATTGGGACACTGTTGGGATTGTCTGGTTAATTTGGGACATTATGGGTGATCCGGTTAACTGGTACACTATGGGTTCTCCACTTAATTGGGACACACACACACACACACACACACACACACACACACACACACACACACACTAGAACACAACACATTCATAAATAACAAGTTTTAAGAATGACGTCATAGTTTGTTTACATTCTCATTATGACCTCAGATCTACGTCATGGAGGGCAGCCAATGAGGACACGGCACCAGATGCTATCATTGTAAAGTACCAACCTGATTTGTGAATGACGAGTTCCACATTCATACCAGCCCATACACGTTCATATCAGCCTACCACACGTTCATACCAGCTCTCACACGTTCATACCAGCTCAGATATGCTCATATTAGCTCTTACACGTTCATACCAGCTCACACACGTTCATACCAGCCCCCACACGTTCATACCAGCTCCCACATACGTTCATATCAGCTCCCACACATGTCCATACCAGCCCCCACAAGTTCATACCAGCTCACATACGTTCATACCAGCTCCCACACACGTTCATATCAACTCCACACATGTTCATACCAGCCCCCACACGTTCATACCAGCTCCCCCACACGTTCATACCAGCTCTCACACGTTCATACCAGCTCAGGCATGCTCATACCAGCTCACATACGTTCATACCAGCTCACACACGTTCAAACCAGCTCAGACATGCTCCTACCAGCTCTTACACGTTCATACCAGCCCCACACGTTCATACCAGCTCAGACACGTCCATACCAGCCCCACACGTTCATACCAGCTCCGCAAATGTCCATACCAGCCCCCACACGTTCATACCAGCTCCCCGCAAATGTTCACACCAGCCCCACACGTTCATACCAGCTCTCACACGTTCATACCAGCTCAGACATGCTCATACCAGCTCATACATTCATACCAGCTCACATACTTTCATACCAGCTCACACACACTTCACCAGCTCAGACATGCTCATACCAGCTCAAACACGTCCATACCATCTCACATACGTTCATACCAGCCCCCACACGTTCAAACCTGCTCTCACACGTTCATACCAGCTCTCACACGTTCTCTCACACGTTCATACCAGCTCACACACACGTTCATACCAGCTCACAAACGTTCATACCAGCCGCCACACGTTCATACCAGCTCTCACACGTTCATACCAGCTCACACATGTTCATACCAACTCACATACGTTCATACCAGCTCACATACGTTCATACCAGCTCAGACACGTTCATACCAGCTCACACACGTTCATATCAAACCACACACGTTCATATCAGCCCAAACACGTTCATATCAGCCCACACACGTTCATATTAGCCTACACACGTTCATACTAGTTGAGACACGTTCATACCAGCTCACACACGTTCATATCAGACCACACACGTTCATATCAGCCCAAACACGTTCATATCAGCCCACACACGTTCATATCAGCCCACACACGTTCATATCAGCCCACACACGTTCATATCAGCCCACACACGTTCATACCAACTCATACACGCTCATACCAACTCAGACACGTTCATATCAGCCCACACACGTTCATACCAGCTCAGACACGTTCATATCATCTCAGACACGTTCATACCAGCTCAGACACGTTCATATCAGCCCATACACGTTCATACCAGCTCAGACACGTTCATACCACACGTTCATATCAGCCCACACACGTTCATATCAGCCCACACACGTTCATATCAGCCCACACACGTTCATATCAGCCCACACACGTTCATATCAGCCCACACACGTTCATACCAGCTCAGACACGTTCATATCAGCCCACACACGTTCATACCAGCTCACACACGTCCCTTTGTCAGGCCCCGGAAAGTCCCTAGTCCCTGTGAAAAGACCTTGGACCCCTAATAACCCTCAGTCTTTAAGAGGACCCTGGGGCCATAGTACCCTGCAGGCTGTACTGGACCCTGAGGCCCTAGCACCCTGTAGGATGTAGAGGACCCTGGGGCCTTGATGCCCCTGTGAGAGGACCCTGGGGCCCTCATACCCTGTGAAAGGACCCTGTAGCCCTAGTACCCCTGAGAGAGGACCCTGGGGCCCTAGTACCCCTGAGATAGGACCCTGGGGTCACCACCTACCATAGGACCAGCTTCACCATCCTTGCCCTTCTTGCCCCGCCGTCCTCTGGATCCTGGCTCGCCCTTAGGACCTGGTGGAGGGAGACACACCTCAATTAACACTACATTCTTCAATAACCACTTAATACATACAATAAATACATGAAAAAACACAACTTGAACTTTTTAATACAGAAACAAATACTGAAATACATAAATTTTTTTATCATTATAAAGTTATTACTGCGCGTCAACAACGAAAGTCTTTAAGCGCGTAACAAGGTTAGTAATACACTATTGTAACAACGCCTAAAAATTATGAGATAAACTCTCTGTTGTACATAAACTGAACCACACTGATTAAAATATATATATATATATATATATATATATATATATATATATATATATATATATATATATATATATATATATTTCATGTAGATCCACAATGAAAACGTGGATAAGATAAATCCCGTGTGATTTTATCAATATATATATATATATATATATATATATATATATATATATATATATATATATATATATATATATAAAACTTCAGCAATGGACTTGTTACGTGGAAAGCGTAGTTTCATAATGAAGAGGAGAACCAGGGAAAACACAAACATCTTGACTAAGTTGGGTTTCTTTAATCACTAACGTTTCGGAAAATCATTTTCCATCATCAAAGCCGAGAAAACAAAAAGTTAAAAAAACAAAATACAGATGATATACAATAAAAACGTAACATTATGCCAAAATTTACCTTCCGCAAAATTAAAAAAAAGAGCATTATAATTTAAAACATAAAACGTAGTACACCCAAAGAAATAGCAGCAATACCAAGGACCATCTTACAGTAGCAGCAGAAGTAACTCCTCCAGCAGGTCCCCCAACAACCTAATGGGCCTTCCTCCTCCTTACCACTACTGGGAGACAATCACCAGCCCTTACCACCCGTCTTCCTGGTGCTGGGGAACTGATCCTAACTGCGTCTTGCCCTAGTGACGGGAGTGGCTGGTCTGGCGAGGTCGTGTACAGGGCTCATAACGACCTTCTCTTCCCGCGTCACTCCTCCCCTCAGCGTGAGTTACCATCCCAAACCTAATCATGTGTTTACGGATCTTTCGGCCGTAAGATCTGACCCTATCGTAGATATTCGTTCAATGCAGGAGATTCCGTTCTCTCCTATATCTCTCTCGGATACTCACAGCGATAAACAGACAAACACGAAAGAAATATCCCCCATTTTATAAGTAATTTGAGAGTTGGGTTTCCCGTTATGTGTGAATTTGTGGAGTTGTAAGGGGGAGCCAGGAGGTGGTGAGACTTGATCAGGAGTAGAGTGTGTGTCTCTAGGGTGAACGAAGTCTTGTGGAACCCGGGTCTGTCTGCCGTCCTGATTGAATTTATTGGTAGAGGAGATTAACGGAGTATCTAACACACCCAATCTGTCTGTTCCTTCCAGCCTCCCACTCCCCCTCCTCACTCCCACTCCCTCAACCTCTCACTAACGGACGAGTTTTGAACCTTTCACCTAAACATAGAAATACCAAGTTAAAGGGTTCGTTTCAGGGGTTCGAAGATAGCAAGACAATGATTTCTGAACCCATATATACGAAATAAACGTCTAATTGACAAGTAAAATCCCCCAAAACGAACCTGAATCCTATAGTTTGAAGCCACGTATAAACCCCTGATAAGAACCCCGAACCCTTAACACAGCACCGCCAACACCTAACACTACACCCCCCCCCCCTCACCCCATTAAGTGTATTAGAATGCATTTGGAAGATTAGAAGTCAAATGAGTCCCACTTCTAACAAGTCGTATCGTAACCTAACCTAACCTAACAACCTAACCTAACCCAATTTAACCATTACGATTTGAACCCATTAAGAATAATGTTAATTAATGACCAAGGCCTATTCGAACCAATACCCACTTGGACTGAGGCCTATTAGGATTGGGAGCCTGTAGGACTTGGGACCAATGGAGACTGGGGCCTATAGGAATGGGCCACTATAGCATAAATGAAATACAAGTTATTTATAAGGACTACTACAACTACTACTACTGTTATGCTACTGCTACTGCACTACTACTGTTAATCTACTACTGCTCACTACTGCTACTACTGTTGCTGCTACTACTGCTGAAAAGCACCACAGGCATCATAAATGTCACAACACAGCAATATAACACCATAAGCACACAAAACCCAAACACAGCAACCATACGTACCCTCAATACAGCATCACTACCACCACCACAACTGTACTGCACCATACCACAGCACCACGACACAGCACCACCGCAGCACCACAACACATCACCCTCAATACAGCATCACAACACCACAACACCACTAACAGCACCACACCACAGCGCCACAGCGCCACCGCACCATACCACAGCACCCAACACAGCACCACAGCGCAAAACACGGTATCACAACACAGCACCCCAAACAACACCCCAAACACAACACAGCACCCAAACACAGCACCCTAACGCACCCCTAACACAGCACCCTAACACAGCACCCCCCTAACACACAGCACCCCTAACACAGCACCCTAACACAGCATCCCTAACACAGCACCCCTAACACAGCATCCCTAACACAGCATTCTAACACCCCCCAACACAGCACCCCTAACACAGTCTCACAGCACCCCTAACACAGTCTCACAGCACCCTAACACGTCTCACAGCACCCTAACACAGCATCCCTAACACAGCATTCCCAACACCCCAAACACAGTCTCACAGCACCCCTAACACAGCACCCCTAACACAGCATCCCCAACACAGCATTCTAACACCCCCAACACAGCACCCCTAACAAAGCATCCCTAACACAGCATTCCTAACACCCCAACACAGCACCCCTAACACAGTCTCACAGCACCCCTAACACAGCACCCCTAACACAGCATCCCCAACACAGCATTCCTAACACACCCCAACACAGCACCCCTAACACAGCACCCCTAACACAGCATCCCTAACACAGCACCCCTAACACAGCATCCTAACACAGCATTCCTAACACCCCAACACAGCACCCCTAACACAGCACCCTAACACAGCATCCCTAACACAGCACCCCTAACACAGCATCCCTAACACAGCATTCCTAACACCCCAACACAGCACCCTAACACAGCACCCCTAACACAGCATCCCTAACACAGCACCCCCTAACACAGCATCCCTAACACAGCATTCCTAACACCCCCAACACAGCACCCCTAACACAGTCTCACAGCACCCTAACACAGTCTCCACAGCACCCCTAACACAGTCTCACAGCACCCCTAACACAGCATCCCTCAACACAGCATTCCTAACACCCCAAACACAGTCTCACAGCACCCTAACACAGCACCCCTAACACAGCATCCCAACACAGCATTCCTAACACCCCAACACAGCACCCTAACACAGCATCCCTAACACAGCATTCCTAACACCCCAACACAGCACCCTAACACAGTCTCACAGCACCCCTAACATAGCACCCCTAACACAGCATCCCCAACACAGCATTCCTAACACCCCAACACAGCACCCTAACACAGCACCCCCAACACAGACATCCCTAACACAGCATTCAACACCCCAACACAGCATCCTAACACAGCATCCTAACACCCCAACACAGGACCCTAACACAGCCTCACAGCACCCCCAACACAGCACCCCTAACACAGCATCCCCAACACAGCACCCCTAACACAGCACCCCTAACACAGCATTCTCACACCACCAACACAGACCTCTAACACAGCCTCACAGCACCCCAACACAGCACCCTAACACAGCATCCTTAACACAGCATTCCTAACACCCCCAACACAGTACCCTAACACAGCCTCACAGCACCCCAACACAGCACCCTAACACAGCATCCCCAACACAGCACCCCTAACACAGCATCCCAACACAGCACCCCTAACACAGCACCCTAACACAGCATTCCTAACACCACCAACACAGCACCCCTAACACAGCCTCACAGCACCCTAACACAGCATCCCTAACACAGCATTCCTAACACCCCTAACACAGCCCCAACACAGCCTACACAGCACCCCCAACACAGCACCCCAACACAGCACCCCTAACACAGCCTCACAGCACCCCCAACACAGAGCAATAACAGCATCAGCACACCACCACATGTCAGACCCTCCCTCCCTCCCCCCACAAATGGTCAAATATTTCTGCCACAGCCTCCAATATGCTGAGAGAAAAAAAAAAGAGAAGAGCAAAGCGATTCTCTCTCTGTCTCTCCGCCTTCAGAGATGTTACGAGATATTACTCACATTCTTTATCCACTTCCTTTATTCTACCCTCTCTCTCTCTCTCTCTCTCTCTCTCTCTCAACGCCATCAAATTAAGAGACGGAAACACCAACGCCATAATAACAATCCTCCTCAAGATGTGTGTGTGTGTGAGAGTGTGTGTGTGTGTGTGTTGTGTGTGTGTGTGTTGTTGTGTGTGTGTGTGTTTACAGTAGTTTACTCTCATGACTTCACAATACAACTACATTCACGTCATATAAATACAATACCTACTTTATATAATACAACACACACACACACACACACACACACACACACACACACACACACACACACACACACACACACACACACACACACACACACACACACACACACACACACACACACACACTAGTAAGTTGGCCTTCAGTATCAACTACTCTTGGTATGTAAATATTTCACGCCTTATTGCAAGGGTCATATGTGTTGCAACCCTTCCCTCCCCTCTCTCTCCCTTCCTTCCTTCCTTCCTTCATTCCTTCTTTCCACCCTTCCTTCCTTCCTTCCTGCCCCCCATCACTACCTCCTTCCCTCCCTCCCTCCCCTACCTTCAACCTCACCTTCCTCATTTTTTCATTCCTTCGTTCCTTCTTCCCACCGTCCCTCTCTCTGAAATATCCGGCTGTTGGGTGTGTGTGTGTGTGTGTGTGTGTGGGTGTGTGTGGGTGTGTGTGTGTGTGTGTGTGTGTGTGTGTGTTTACGTACATATAATGGTGCTGGTAAAGAGAACCATCACACCATTAACTTGTGCGCCACTAATTCACAGTACTCACGCCACAAGCCTCCCACTGTGACTCACCCAACCCAACCCAACCCAATCCCAACCTAACCTAACCTGTCCCAACCTAACACCTAACCTAACCTAACCTACTTAATGGGATCGATTCATTAGGCCTGAGCCCCTATTGTAATGTTTAGGTTAGGTTAGGTTAGGTTAGGTTAGGTTAGGTTAGGGTCTAAGAAACTGGGGCCCATCTGACTAGCCATCATGATATAATTCCATTGTAAAGTAGATCTCATCGCCCAAAAACTGAACTGACTCTCTATAAACATGCACTGACTCTCTATAAACATGAACTGACTCTTTATACACATGAACTGACTCTTTATAAACATGAACTGACTCTCTATAAACATGAACTGACTGAATATGAACTGATTCTCTACAAACATGAACTGATTCTCTACAAACATGAACTGACTCTCTATAAACCTGAACTGATTCTCTATAAACCTGAACTGACTCTCTATAAACATGAACCGACTCAACATGAACTGACTCTCTATTAACATGAACTGACTCTCTATTAACATGAACTGACTCTCTATAAACATGAACGACTCTATTAACATGAACTGACTCTCTATAAACATGAACTGACTCCCTATAACTAATCACCATACCTGTAGTGTTTTTTAATAAAAACAAAGAAATATATTTGTTTGTTTGTTTTTCGTTTCAGATTAAGTGAGTATTTTCAAGGCTTCGTGTGACGTCACTCTCAAGGCATCTTCAACACTATAATGACAGGATGTACACACGACACACTTACTGTGTGTGTGTGTGTGTGTGTGTGTGTGTGTGTGTAACCCTGAGAAGTGTGAAATTTGACACACACCAAATGAAACCTAACCTAACCTAACGTAACCAAACCTAACCTAACGTATCCTAACGTAACCAAACCTAACGTAACGTAACTTAACGTAACCAAACCTAACCTAACGTAACCTAACGTAACCCAACGTAACCTAACCTAACGTAACTTAACGTAACCAAACCAAACCGAACCTAACCAAACGTAACCTAACCTAACCTAACTCCAATTTTAGAAGGTCCCAACGTCATTCGGCCATGAACATTAGGGATCAGTTAGAAAGGGATGGCCTGGTTGTGGACCTAACTTACAACTAGGGCATTAGTAAGGGTCCTTTCTGTGGCCCTATAACACGAGGTCTATTACACCTTCCTCACCTCACAACACCTCCCTCATCTCCCTTCACCTCCATAACACCTCCCCTCACCTCCATAACACCTCCCTCACCTCCAACAACATCTCCCTCACCTCCATAACACCTCCCTCATCTCCATAACACCTCCCCCTCACCTCCATAACACCTTCCCTCACCTCCTTCACCTATAACACCTCCCCTCCCCGCCATAACACCTCCCTCACCTCCACACCCCTCATCTCCATACAACACCTCCCTCCCTCCATAACACCTCCCTCCCTCCATCACACCTCCTCACCTCCATAACACCTCCCCTCATCTCCATAACACCTTCCCTCACCCCCCACAACACCTCCCTCACCCGCACAACACCTTCCCTCACCCCCACAACACCTTCCCTCACCTCCACAACACCTCCCCTCACCTGCACAACACCTTACAACATAACACGGTGTTGTCTCCGACCATCACTCATTACAGGTATTGCAATGTTTCCTCTTTTTAACCAAGTCTTATATTAAGTTTCCAGAAGCTTTTAAGGATTCAATTTTCGTTGTCTCCGCCGTCAGGAGGTGGGAGGCGTCGAGTCATTACCCCCGGATACACTGGCCGCCACCTCCATCACAGTTCCTGGTCCCGCTGAATATTTTACACGGGCGTTCACTTGAGGGTAAATCTCAGTGGTATCAAGACTTATGTTTACCTTCGCGACGCGTCAACACTTCTGGATCATCTGAAGATTGCCCCCCCATCCCTTCCCCCACACCTCCAGTCTAAACTACCTTAACGCTCACCTAACCTAACTTAACCTGAATTAATGTTCCCTTAAGTTAATTTAAAGCTAAACTAACCTAAACTACCCTTACCTTCCCTAACCTATTATAATTCAACCCAATCCTAACTTATCTTAACCTAGCCTCCCCTAACCTAAACTACCCTATTTTAACCTAACCTACCTTACCCTAACTTAATCTACCCTACCCTAACTTAACCCACCCTACCTTTACTTAACCTAACCTAACTCAACCTTAACGTAACCTAGCCTAACCAATCACCCAGGTGGCGCTAAGGTGGTGTGGTTAGGTTAGGTTATCGTGTTAATATTATGATTTTTATCGACTCTGTATCTGTGTTCTTCTGGCTAAATAAACTGTTTCAATATTAACAGGTGAAATAAACTGGGGTGTCTAATCTTCAGGTGATCCGGCATTTGTTTAACAGTAATACGATAAGATTAAACCCTCGGTATGACACAGTTGGACTTATCGTGTTGCACTTCATATAAACCTGAAGTACAGCCATGATAAATCGAAGTGGGAGAGGGGGACAAGGAGGGAGGAAGGAGAAGAGGGAGGAGGAGGAAGGAAGGGGGAGGAGGAAGGGAGGGAAGAGGAGAATGGGAGGGAGGAGGAAGGAAGGAAGAGGAAGGAAGGGAGGGAGGGAGGGAGGGGAGAGTCAATACCCGGCCATGTCATCAGCTCACAGGCCATTACAAGGCGCTTGGCTCACCATCACCCGCGAGATAACGCCACAATCACCCGTAATCCAAAACAGGGACGCCACAACCTATATAAGGCGGGACCACTCACCACGCTGGCATAGTGGAGCCATCGGGTGCCTTTACCTCAACATTCCGGGCAATGATGGCGGCAGTGAAGAGAGAGAGAGAGAGAGAGATACTATAAGGTCTTCATCTATGCCTTAAAAACATGAGGGATGGTGGCTGAGACCCCCTTGAGCCCAGCTAGACACAGACAAACAACCCCGCGTCGACCACCTCCGTCTGGCTATGAATGGAAGTCCCGTTTTCTGTGATGGTGATAAATTGGACAGTGTCTTCACGTACAGCCACGGGATACCTATTAGTACTTCACGTGTGTTTGGGTCGGTGAATAAGTACCCTACGTGTGTTTGGGTCGGTAAATAAGTACCCTGGGTGATGATACAAGAAAACACCTAACTCACTAATTTAAGCCAAAACACAAACTTAACTTACAAGAACAGCATCAACCCCCAACCCCCACCCTCTTTAACTACAAACGTTCACTTAACATTGCACAAAGTTAAGAGAATATTCTGTGCCTCAATTTGTCTTTTAAGTGGTTATAAATATATGTATCTACTTAAACTGGTACCTGTTGCCACGCATATAATATACTATAAATACTAGCATCAGGGTACCAGTGTCAGGTTCTCAAATACCTCACTAGATGGTAGCACTTGTGAGGTAAACAACACATCGGGTCAAGAAGGGCATACAGGACAATGCTTGTTAAATTCTTCTTTTATTTGAACTCGTAAGAATGTATTTCTCAATTGTTTAAATTAAGCTGAAATGCTAAAAATATTACACAGAAGTTGCATCGATTTTACAAAGATTCATAGTACCTGGCATAGTTAACAAAGACCCTGGCGTAGTTAAGGAAGGAAAGAACCCTAAGCCACCACCACCACTTTCACTAATTACTAGCCGTGGTTAGTAGACGTGGTTAGTATCGGTGATTACATGTTCCACTAACCACCACCTCCCCTCCCTCCCCCTCGTGTTTACCAAAGCCCTTACTCCCTCATTATCTTATTAACTATACACGTCAGTAGGTGATGTACGTCAAGCTAACCTATGATAGCAGTGATCTCGCCTCTCACCTCCGGGCTGTCGATCCCTAAGGTGGGGATTTATTTTTTTGTTTTTGCATCACCTGAAGATTAGTCCCCCACCTCCCCTCCCCTCTCAGTTAATTTTACCTGATGACTAAACACCTTACCTTAACCTAACCTAATATACCTTAACCTAGCCTAACCTACCTTAATCTAACCTACCTTACCTTAACCTAACCTAATACCTAACCTAGCCTAACCTACCTTAATCTAACCTAACCTACCTTAACCTAACCTAATATACCTTAACCTAACCTAATATACCTTAACCTAGCCTAACCTACCTTAATCTAACCTACCTTACCTTAATCTAACCTACCTTACCTTAACCTAACCTAATATACCTTAACCTAGCCTAACCTACCTTAATCTAACCTACTTTACCTTAACCTAACCTAACATACCCTACCTTAAGCTAACCTACCCTACCTTAATCTAACCTACCCTCCTTAACCTAACCTACCCTACCTTAATCTAACCTACCCTACCTCAAACTAACTTAGCCTACCTTAACCTAACCTACCCTACCTTAATCTAACCTACCCTACCTTAACCCAACCTACCCTACCTTAAACCAACTCTAGCCTACCTTAACCTACCCCACCTTAATCCAACCTACCCTACCTTAATCTAACCTACCCTACCTTAATCTAACCTTACTCATTACCTCCACCAACCCAACCTAGCCTACCCTACCTTAACCTAACCCTACCCTACTTAATCTAACCTACCCTATCTTAAACTAACTTAGCCTATCCAGCCTTAACTTAAGCTAACCTAACCTACCCAATAATCTCTTGTCTTTTGTTACCTACGGATTGTGAATACTTAATTAGGTTAGTTTGTCAGCCCACACACCTGCCCTACAGGTGTGGAGGGGGTCTGTACCGCTTTGTTTTCCTCCACTAATACGTGAAATTAATGACTCTTAATATAGACAATTTATACAGTACAGGTGGGCCACAGTGCTGAGGAATTATCTAGCTCTATGACTAACTACGCCTTCCCTGACGAACTGGCTGACTAACTACGTCTTCCGACTAACTAACTACTGCACACCTTCCCTAACTACACCTTCCGTGACTAACTACGCTTTCCATTACTAATTACGTCTTCCCTAACTAACTACGTCTTTTCAAACTAACTACACCTTGACTGACCAACTACGTCTTCCCTTCTTCCCTGACTAAATATTCTATCGCTAACTACGGCTCTCAACGCTACTAAATGACGGACACAGAGGACAGAAACAACGTCTATGCTGATCGTAGTTACAAACGCGTGTACAGTATGTCAGGACCTCTGAGGTTAACAAAGACAGCGAAAAACAAACACGACAACGACGGCTCAAAATCACGATCATGGAACACAACCACGATAACACTAGTACTGAACAACACTGTCTGGTCGTGGGTGTAATAATGCCTTCAATAATTAAGTTGGTGGTGGCTGGGTAGTTAGGAAGGAACCAGAGGCTGGGTAGTTAGGGAAGGGAACCAGGGGCTGGGTAGTTAGGAAGGGAACCAGGGGCTGTAGTTAGGAGGGAACCAGGCTAGTAAGTTAGTGGGGAACCAGGGGCTGGGTAGTTAGGGAAGAGAACCAGGGGCTGGATAGTTAGGGAGGGAAACCAGGGGCTGGGTAGTTAGGAGGGAACCAGGGGCTAGGTAGTTAGGTAGGGGAAGTTGGCGCGGGGTCTATTTGAGGAAGATCTGGGCCAAGATGCCTTTTATCGAGTTACTGTTGACCTGTTGGTGGTAATGGTGGTAGTGGTGGTAACGGTGGTGGTAGTGATGGTAACGGTGGTGGTAGTGATGGTAACGGTGGTAGTGATGGTAACGGTGGTGGTAGTGATGGTAACAGTGGTGGTAGGTGGTACGGTGGTAGTGATGTGGTAAGATGGTAACGGTGATAGTAGTGATGGTAACGGTGGTGGTAGTGGTGTTAATGGTATGGTGGTAGTGGTGGTAGTGATGGTGGTAATGGTGGTAGTGGTAGGGTAGTAATGGTAGTGATGGTAATGATGGCAATGGTGGTAATGGTGTTAAAGGTAGTAGTGGTGTTAACATGGTAGTGGTGGTAATGTGGCTGTGTTCAACTACCACCACTACCATCACAACTACCGCCACCTCCCAACAACCACGACTACCACCCCTCGTGTAACGAGGATGGCCGGCCCAAGGGCCACCTAGGCGTGAATTTGTTTAAGGTGTAGAAGCTGTCGCCAACCCAACCAACCACACCCTGAGTTAACGAGCTGCAAGACCCAGTGTCAAGGAATAGTCCGGAGAAGACCGGACAACTCGCCAACTGCACTGGCTAACCATTATCCCGGAACACGATTCGCAAATCGATTAACATCCAGGTTCCCAATTACTGCTGTAGACAGAGCAAATGGCAAAGAAACCTGCCCATAGTTTCACCCTGCCCGGGGACCGAACTCGGTCCGCTCGCTTGCGAGGCGAGCATGCTGACCATTACACCACTACCACTCCTACCAACAACCACTACTACCACACCACCACCACACCACCACCTCCCAATCACCACTACTACACCACCACTACCACACCACCACCACACCACCACCCCTCCCAATCACCACTACCACACCACCACCTCCCAACAACCACCACCACCACCACACACCACCACCACACCACCACCTCCACACCACCACACCACCACCTCCCCAACAACACCACCACACCACACCTCCCAACAACCACCACACCGGCACCTCCCAACAACCACCACCACCACACCACCACCTCCCAACAACCACCACCACCACACCACCATCTCCCAACAACCACCACCACCACCACACCACCACCACCACACCACCACCTCCCAACAACCACCACCACCACCACACCACCACCACTACCACACCACCACAACCACACCACCACCACCACCACACCACCACCACCACCACACCACCCACCACCACACCACCACCACCACCACACCACCACCACCACCACACCACCACCCACACCACCACCTCCCAACAACCACACCACCCACACCACCACCTCCCAGCAACCACCACCACAACCACCACACCACCACCTCCCAACAACCACCACCA